CAGGCTCAACACCCCCAAAGACAGCACCACCCCCAGTAGGACCTGAGTCACCAGTGACCTCAACAGGCGTAGGCACGGGAGGGTCTACCTGAGAAACACCTGAAGGAGCAGGACCTGGCGCGGGGAGGGGGTCTACCTGGGGAGGACCTGGGGCGAGAAAGAGCGGCGGGGGGGGGCGAGGGGCAGTGCGGTAGGGAAAGAGACGGTAAAAGGGGACGGACTCGTCAAAGGTGACGTCCTGAGACGGAAAGACACGGCGCGAGGCTGGGTCGTAAAACTGCCAGCCAGGCGCGTCAGGGACAAAGCCAAGGAAGACGCGGGGAATGGCGCGAGCGGAGAGTTTGTCCGCGGTGGTATCGCGGACAAAGGCACGAGCACCCCAGACCCGGAAACGCGACGCATCGCCAACCTTCCCCGTCCACAGCAGTGTGGGCGAGGTCTCCGGCAAGGAGACACGGGGCCAGAGGTTGAGCTGATGCGCGGCGTACCGGACCGCAAACGGCCACAGAAAATGGGGGGCAGCCGCATGGATCATGGAGGTACGAGCGATCTCCATGACTAAGCCAATGCGGCGCTCAGCAACCCCATTCTGCTGCGGAGAGGCCGGAAGCGTGAACGTCTGGCGGATGCCGTGCTCCGCATAGAAGGCTGCCAAGAGGTCTGAGGAGAACTCACCACCTCTGTCAGAGTGCAGACGCAGGACAGGAAAGTCCGACTGGAACCGCTCGCGGAGCTGGAGACGAACAGCGCGGATCCAGGGGATCAAAACATCAGGGACCTCCCCCTTGCTGCGCAAGGGGAAGACTGTGGTGTAACGCGTGTAGTCGTCGACGACCAGCAGGAAGTACCGCTCGTGGACCTGTCCACGGACGCGGGCTGGGCCCCACACGTCCGTGTGGAGAGTCTGCAGGGGAGCCTCTGTGGGAGGAAACGAGGAGGAGTGAGGAGTGGCGCGCTGCCGCCCCTCGACGCAAGGAATGCAGGGCGGTGCAGGCGAGGGAGGGAGGGCAGGCAGAGACTCAGGAAGGCCAGAGACCAGGTAGCGAGAGTGCATGCTACGAAGGCGAGGCAGGGAGGGGTGACCAAGGCGGTGGTGCCACAGAAGAGTGTCGTGCGACAGGCGGCGACACTCACACTGGGTAGCTACCTGAGCAGACGCGTACAGCTGGGGGGACAAAGGGGTGTAGCGTGACGAAGTGGTGAGGGTGTACAGACTAGACCCAGGCGCACGTGTGAACGTGGCCAGGTGACGGCCGGTCCGGGAGCACGTGCAGATCGCCACACGCTGTCCTCCAGGAGTAAAGGTGTCAACCCAGTGATCCTGAAGGACGGCGTTGCTCACCAAGTTCGTAGAGAACGAGGGGAGGTGGAGACCATACAGCTCACCAGACGGGACCGCCGGACACGGAAGCACAGTGGAAGACCGTGCAAGCACTGGGCCCCCAGAGGGGTCAGCCAGCGAGACAGGAACAGGTGCAGGGAGGGGAGTGACTGTGGTGCTGTCGCGAAAGAAGCAGCGGGAAGCACCAGAGTCAAGTGTGAAGGTGTGCAAGGCCTGTGCGGACGCAGTACCAGGGGGAGCAGACTCACAAGCACCTAGTGCCACAGGCGCTATACCTGGGGCTATACCAGGGTCAGGCGGCACACACAAGTAGCAGTCACCCTCAGCACTAACAGTCAATGCATACATGGCAGCAAGAATAGCCTCATAGTCAAGATCAAAGATAGGTACATCACGCCTAAGCAGGTCTGCCCAGTTGGGGAACTCAGTAGCATCAGGAAACTTTGCGCGCCAGGCGTCGCTAAGCCGAGCGAAGCAGCGCTGCTCAGTGTGAAACCCTGTGCACTGGCGACCAGTGCGGGGACCTGTACGAATGATATAGGGGCAGCGACCAGGACCCTCAGAAGCCCCACGCCCGGCATACCAGTCAAGAAGCTGCTGGGAAGTGGGGGTCTGGCGCTGACGCTGCTGCTGCTGCTGCTGCTGCTGCTGCTGCTGCTGCTGCTGCTGCTGCGGCTGCTGCTGCTGCTGCCCCTGACCACCACTGCCACTACCGCTCCCTCCTCCCCCACCACCGCCGCTGCCATCTCCACTGCTCCCAGTGCCTCCGCCGCCCCCAAAACCACCTCCACCACCTCCACCCCCACGACCACCCCCACCACCTCCACCTCCCCCGCCGCCTGCACCACCGCCCCCTCCACCGCCACCCCCACCGCCACCCCCACCTCCCCTGCCACCCTTGCCGCCCCTGCCGCTGCGGCGCTTCCCACTAGGAGTGGAAGCAGCCCCGACCTCCTCAGCACCAAGGTAGTCGAGGGCAGCAGCTGCGGAGGCGTAGGAGGGGGTAAGAGGGGAGGGGGGCAACCCCTCAAAGAGGGGAGAGCGAGGAGTACCGCGAGCAGCACCTACAGCGAGGATGTTCTTCTCTGCTGCGAGGAGGTGCTTTTCGAGGTCGTCGACAGTGAGAGAATGGGGGTCAAGGGCGAGGAAGTGGTCCCTGGCTGAGCGAAGAGTGTCAGGGAGGCGGGTGATGAGGAAGTAGATAGTAAAGTACATCGGGGGGCGGTTCTCTGTGAGGAACTCGGCTGGAAGGGCGTGTCAGAATCCCAACCACTAGACCATTGGGATAAAAGGGCTTGTTAAGTAGCGGGTCAGTGCGCCCATAACCCCCCAGGTCAACATGCCTGTAACCCTTCCCTAGGATCAATCGGGGATCACCAGTGGACCTCTGACACCCCCCCGCACTGGGATGCCCGAAGTGCACACACTGGGATTCGAACCCGAGACCTTCGCTCTGATACCATGTCAGAATCCCAACCACTAGACCATTGGGATAAAAGGGCTTGTTAAGTAGCGGGTCAGTGCGCCCATAACCCCCCAGGCCAACATGCATATAACCCTTCCCTAGGATCAATCGGGGATCACCAGTGGACCTCTGACAGGGCGGCACGAAGGCGAGTGTCACTACGCGTAGGTGAGAGATGAGGTCCTCAGCGGTGGTAAACGAGGTCAGGTCGGGGAACAGGTAGGGTAGCATAAGTCGACCGAGGGCTGCAGTGGCCGGGGAAGAGTAGCGGGCAACTACAGCGTCGTACAGTGCCTTGGCAGTCTTGTGCTGGCTAAAATGTGCGCGTTCTGTGATCGGCAGATGGTTGCGAATAGCTAGGCGCGCAGCAGCATCGCGGGTCTGCCAATGGGAGCGGTCTAGAGCAGGCTCAGTGGCAGCAGGAGCAACGGCAGTGCCCGACACGTAATCAAATAGGGAAACACCGTCTTTGGCATCAGTCATGAGGAACAGTTGCAGGTCGTCAAGCCAGGTGGAAAACTCTACTGGGCGACCGTCAGGATCGAACGCGAGCACGTTGAGAGTCGCCATGCGTGCAGTGTAGGCAAGTCGAGTGCGCAGGCGGCAAGGCAAAAGGCAAGCAAGGAGAGACTGCGTGCAAGGCTGCAGTGGCGGCTTACGGACTGCTGTGGCGGTGCACGGACTCCTTAGGCAGCACGGAGGGCAGCAGTGGGCCGCGTGTGGGCCTCTAAAGCGGCGCGTGGTGCAGCAACGGGCCGCACACGGGCTCCTAAGGCGGGGCACGGTGCAGCAGTAGGCCGTGCACTGGCTCCTAAGGCGGCGCGCGGAGCAGGGGCGGGCTACACACCGGAGGAGGCGACGCAAGGGGCCGGCGGCAGGCTGCGCGGGCGGCTTAAGCGGCGCGCGGGCCGGCAGCAGGCTACGCGGGCGGCAGATGCGGCGCGCAGGGCCTAAGCGGGCTGCGCGCGGGCGGCTTACGCGGCGCGCGGGCGGCTTACGCGGCGCGCGGGCCGGCGGCAGGCTGCGCGGGCGGCTGACGTGGCGCGCGGGGCCGAAACCAGACCTAAACGAGCCTAAACGGGCCGCGCGCGGGCTGCTTAAGTGACGGGCGCGGGCTGCTTAAGTGACGCGCGCGGGAAAAAAAATGGGGCCGCGCGCGTGCAGCCGAGGCGCGCGCGGGCAGCAGGCAAGGCAGGCAGGCAAATGAGGTAATGTGGTAAAGGGTGGGCCCTAATCTTAGGTCCTAAAGACCTCTAGGCTCTAGATACCATCTTAGAGTATAGGCATGAAATGGAGTTTGACTATCGAGAGAGTTGGTACAAAGGAGAAACCTAAGGGGTTGTACCCCACAGTGAGTACCCCACTAAGCCTACCCAAACTATAACAGATATATATATATATGTTTGACAACTGGTTGCCTGGCAGCCTGAGAAGCGTCGTCCTAGACATGTGGCTGCTTGTGGTTGGCCGACAGCAGGTGCAGCAGTCCCATCCAATAGCAGGTCCCATTCTAATGTTCAACAATTCCAGGCTGCTGAGTTGGTCGTATTGTACAATGTACAGCATTCTTTATAACAATAGTAATGTACACCAGTATCATGCTCAGTCTCAACTGTAACTGCTGCCGTATCTATTTAGTGCTATGCCAGCACCTAGTACAACCAGGACCCGTAGCTATCCAAAACACTCAGCTATTCAGCGACCTCTCTCCAGCAGGGTGAGCAAGATAGAATCCGTTTTGAATTTGGATTGAAGAAGGGGCTCCTGGGCCCTGGTCGGCAGCATGGTACCAGTGTACACTCACCGGCATTGAAATCAGTGCTCACCTGAAGTCTAGTGCTCTGAGATACTGCCGAGAGGAGGATGTTTCACATGCAGGGAAGAAGCTTGGGAATTCCTGAGACTGTGAAGACTTGTCCTACAGATTCTGGTTTACAGTGTGGGTGGGTAGGTGAATGTTTTCTTTGGTGCTACCAGTTCAGACTCTCCCTCCCTGTGCCCTGTATGTCTTTTTCTCTCCACACATGTGAGAAATAGCGGCAATAATGGGAGTTTTCGAGCAGAATGTACAGGTCAAACAGGTACAAACGCAGAGTGTACTGACAAGAGTATTAAAATAACCTATCCTAAAGTGCCAGAGATAAATTCACAAAACCATGGCCCATGAGCGGTTGCAAAAGCAGCAGCTACTGTTTAGGCAGTGATGGGGGTGAAGTTCATGTTCTCCTTGGGAATCTCCGTAAATTCCGAAAGGATCGCCCGGAACTCTTCCCCACTCAGCGTCTCCTTCTCCACCAGCACCTCCACAATCTTGTCAATCGCCTCGCGGTTGTTCCGAATGTGCGCCAGAGCCACTTCATACGCCTCGTCGGAAATGGATTTAACGGCGGCGTCAATGTCCTCTGCAAGCTTCTCAGACATGCTGTTGCGCGCCATCATGCGCATGATGACGTCACCACCCTGGCCAGCGGGGTCCATAAGGGCCCAGGGGCCAATGTTAGACATGCCGAAGACGGTGACCATCTGTGGGAGAGAGAGAGAGAGGGAGAAAGAAAGTGGAGGGTGGGGAGAGGATGGTGAGAAGCTGAATAAGGGGCTCAAATGCCTCGACCCATGAACCGACATCAGACATGACAATGAAAGATACAATAGTGGGTGAGGGAGGCGAGGGTCATGTGAATTCGACGAAATAAAAGGTTGGCTCAGTGAGTTGAGAGAGTAAGTCGACCAATATCAAAGGCCATACTATAATCAGTAGTGGAATAGGGATGAGGGTAGGGGTGTGGGGGGTGGGGAAAGATTGTGCAAGGCAAGCTATGTTCCCTTAACTGCTCTGAATTCCTCAATTCTTTGCTTGGTGATGGCGTGGTGGTGATTAGGTTACTACAGCATACCTGCTTGGCCATGCCCGTGACTTGCTGCAGATCGCTCGAGGCGCCCGTGGTCACCTCCGCATCGCCAAACACCACCTCCTCCGCGGCGCGGCCGCCCAGCGCGCCGACGATGCGCGCGAAGATCTGCTGCTTCGAGATGAGCGACGGGTCGTCGTTGGGGATGAACCACGTCAGCCCGCGCGCCTGGCCACGTGGCACCAGCGTCACCTTCTGCACGGCGTCGTGTCCGGGAGTGAGCGTGCTGAGGAGATACCAATGGGGGGGAGGGAGAGGAGAGAGGGAAAGAGATGAGTTAGAACCGTTTGGGTAGAGATTCGAACACTAGGCAAGAGTGAGGGAGCCGGGACGTGGAGAGAGAGACCATAACACGAAGGAGGGCTGAGAGGGAGGACGCGGTCTTTCGGAAACAGCTACGCGGCATTGGAATTCTCTGGAAGTTCAACGGTATTTCAACTCACCCGCAGACGGCGTGCCCGACTTCATGGTAGGCCACGAGGCTCTTGCTCTTGCCGTCCGTCATCACCGTGCCCTCAAGACCCGCCACGATCCTGTCGATCGCGTCGTCGATCTCCTTCGACGAGATCGCCGTCTTGGCGCGCCGCCCGGTCAGGATCGCCGCCTCGTTCAGCAGGTTCGCGAGATCCGCGCCGCTGAATCCGGGCGTGCGCGCTGCGACAACATCGAGGTTGACGTCATCGGCGAATTTCTTGTTGGATGCATGCACCTTGAGAATCTCCTTCCGTCCCTTGATATCCGGGACGTCGACGGACACCTGACGATCGAATCGCCCGGGACGCAGCAGCGCCGCGTCGAGAATATCCGCGCGATTGGTCGCCGCGATAACGATAACACCTGTGTTGCCCTCGAATCCGTCCATCTCCGTTAGAAGCTGGTTCAGCGTCTGCTCGCGCTCGTCGTTCCCGCCGCCAATTCCGGTACCACGCTGGCGACCAACGGCGTCGATTTCATCAACGAACACGATGCAGGGAGCGTTCTCCTTGGCCTTCTTGAACAAATCGCGCACGCGCGACGCGCCGACACCGACAAACATCTCCACAAACTCCGACCCGGAGATCGAAAAGAACGGCACCGCGGCCTCTCCAGCAATAGCCTTCGCCAGGAGCGTCTTACCCGTGCCGGGCGGGCCGACGAGCAGCACGCCCTTGGGAATCCGCGCTCCGACGGCGGTGAAGCGCTCCGGGCGCTTCAGGAACTCGACGACCTCCATGAAATCCTGCTTCGCCTCGTCGACTCCCGCGACGTCGTTAAAAGTAACGCCCGTGTTCGGCTCCATCTGGAACTTAGCCTTAGACTGCCCGAACGCCATTGGTCCGCCCGGACCGCCCGGGCCCATGCCTTGGGATCGCCGGGAGAGGAGGAACAGGCCTCCGACGAGCAGCAGCGGGAACGCGAGGTTTCCGAGAACGTTCATGAAAACGGCGCCCGAGTCCTCCTGGGGGTTGTGCGCGGCGAAGTCGATGTTCTTTTCGCGGAACTTCGCGAGGAGCTCACCGGAGAGCCCCGGCAGCTGCACGCGCACGCGCTGGGTGCGGTTACCGAGCTCAGGGCTCACCGCCTCGACGATGGCGATCGTGCCGTTCTCGTACAGGTCGACCTTCTTAACGCGGTCCATGTCGAGATATTCCAGGAAGCGCGAGTACGACATGCGCGACGACGCGACCGCCTGCTGCTCGCCTTCCGCCATGGCTTTTCCGCCGAGGACCAGCGGCGGGAGGCCGACGACCGCAGCGCCGAGGGCCTTTTTGAGGAAGGAGCGCTTCGAGGCGCTGACGGCGTCGGGGTTGCTGGCGGCGGTCGCGACGATGCGCGATGCTGGGACGGCGACTACTCGCGCGGATTTGCCGGCGATGGTGATTCGTTGGCCCCGGAGGTCTGAGCCCAGGAGGGCGGTCTTAGTCGCCGACACGGGAGCGGAGAGGGCCGCCATGGCTGAGAGCTAGGATTGCGAGCTACGACGATAAGTGAGCGCGGAAGAAACGGAATGCGCAATCCAAAGCGGAGCAGCAGGGAGACTGCAGCTGTGGGAAATGGCTGTGCACAAGGCGGGTAGTCCGAATGGCTGATTGAAACTAGGGCAGGGAGGAGAATATATGGAGGTAATGGGAGGTTGGTAGCAGCAGAAAGCCTTTGGCCGAGGCGACAGTCGACTCTCGGTGTAACCGGGTAGCTCGCGAACGAGAGCCTCTCAGAGCTCTAGGAAGAATCACAAAGGCGAATCAATCGAAACGTAGAATTCGCGGAGAAAATGTAAAATCGGTGAATTGGAGAGCTGGATTGGCAGTGTAAATGTAAAATCGGCGAACTGACTATTGTGTTGCTTGCAGCGGGGTTTTGAAGGGTTGGTTTCGGCGAATCGCGGGTGAATGCTCCTCCCCTCAGTCCCTCGAAATTGCCCGACCGGCAACGGTCCACGCATCACAGGACGCCATGTCACGCACCTTGGGAGTTCATGGTGATGAATGTTGACGGTGTGCTGGCCGAGTGACGCGGCGAGTTCTAGACGCCTTGTGCTGGTTCGGGCTAATCCAAGGCGCGAAGTGCTGCGAGCAATCGGAGAACACGAGGCAGCCCGTGACCAACGGCCACATCAGCAATCCGAGACGTGGTGCTCTGTAAGGGTGGCCACATGGCATCCAGTCTGGGCAGGCATTCACAATGTCCGCTACAGAGCTAAATCATGTACAGTGAATGACTCTTCGCATCTGAGCGTCACCGTTTGCAATCATACCCCTATAGTTTCTTCTTTAGCAAAAAGGATTGAGATTAGAGGTGCTGAGGAATGAGCTACTCGTTTAGCTATCCATTTGTACCATTTCTACTGCAACTTACGTAGCTACTTCATGGGGTTCTGCAAGTTCAACAGAGATGCCTCATCATCACTACTTTACTATCTTGGAACCACATCAACACCCTAAACAACACCAGCACTACCAGGAATCTATGCATACCACAGGACGCAGTGTATGAATACACTAGCATACAAACCAAAACATATCTTTACAATTTGAGTCCATTCCATTGTTAAAGTGTTCCTATTCCTGCTATCTTACAAGAGGAAATCCTACGTTGACACGAACTACTATATCAACCAACAATCTTTACTACTGGAGGTGCCACAGCTGTTGACGACCCCCCGTCACCGCCATTCACCTCCATATCCCCCCCTTCAACCGACCCTGATCCTCCCGCCTCCAATGCTGCAGCTTGAGCTGCCGCCTCCACCTCATCACTCTCACACACCTTCACCAACAGCCTTAGCTTATCCGGTACAATCCCAATGTCAGGCCGGACCGACCAATTATCCACCACGCTGTGCCGGGCCAGAGTCGCCAAGCCTCGAGAAAACACCGGCGTTGACAGGAAGTACCGTACATCAAGCAACAGCTTCCACTGTTGCCATAGCTGCTAACGACCCCTCCGCACCTCCATTGACCACCGTATCCCCCCCTTCAACCAACCCTGATCCTCCCGCCTCCAATGCTGCAGCTTCAGCTGCCGCCTCCACCTCATCATTTTCGAACACCTTCACAACAGCCGCAGCTTTAGCTGCGGCTTCCGCCTCATCATTCTCACACGCCCTCACCAACAGCTTTAGTTTCTCCACTACGGTCCCAATCTCCGGCCGCGTCCTCCGATCGTCCGCCACGCAGTGCCGAGCCAGAGTCGCCAAGCCTCGGGCTCCTCGCTCCGGGTATTGGTTACCGAGCCTAGGATCGATATATTCGGCGGCTTTAAGTGTGAGGTCTGAGAGGCGAGTTCGGCACTCGATGACCATTCTTTCCCCCTCGTCCACCACTCTCCTGCCGGTTACCAGCTCTAGCAGGAGCACGCCAAAGGAGTAGACGTCACTCTTGGCGCCCAGGTGACCTGGGGGAAGGAGGGCAGGGCGCGAAGGAGTGGGAGAGGGGTAGGGTCAATCCTTCCATCCCCAGATGACTGCCCTCTTTACCTCTAGCCCCATCCGCACTCTCTGTATGCTTGTCAGAATCCCCTAGGCACACCTGTCCCATGTAAGGAGGGTCAATGTACCCCGCAGTCCCCATAAAGCAAGGATGCACGCAAGGCACAGTCCGTCATATCAACACACACCTCTCTCCATGTATGATGGGTGCATGTAGCCTGGGTCCCCCCCATAATGCGAGGATGCATGCTAGCTACAGCCCCCCATGTATAAACACACACCTGTCTCCATGAATGAGGTGTCCATATACCCGGGTCCCCATGATGGATACGCATGCTATTCAGAGTCACATAGACGGGTAGGTGTAGCTCAGGTCCCTCCCTCCTATAAAGCAAGGATGCATGCTAGCCACAGCCCCCCATATATAAACACACACCTGTTCTCCATGTACGATGGGTCGGTGTACCCCCGAGTTGACATTATCGACACGCCCTGTATCGTGTATGCTATTCAACACCCCCTCAACACAACACACACCTGTCTCCATATCGCGAGTATGCATGCCAGTCATAGTCCCCCACGTATAAACACACACCTGTCTCCATGTATGATGGGTCGGTGTACCCCGGGTGCCCATGACGCGGGTCGACACGATCGATTGCAGCTGCACGGTTCTTCAGCCCCCATCTTCGCCTGTACACCACCCCACACCCTCTGTATTGCGTGTGCTAGTCATATTCCCCTAGACACACACCTGTCTCCATGTATGATGGGTCTGTGTACCCCCGGGTGCCCATGACGCGGGTCGACACGATCGATTGCAGCTGCCTATCCGGCCCCACGCGCACCATGCCAAAGTCTGTCAGCTTTGCATCGTACTCCTGTGGCGTTGGGCGGGAAGAAGTGGGGGGGAAGATTGAGAGGGATAAAGCACTCGCTGCAAGCACTCGTTGCAAGCAGTCGTTGCAAGCAGTCGTTGCAAGCAGTCGTTGCAAGCAGTCGTTGCAAGCAGTCGTTGCAAGCAGTCGTTACAAGCCCTCCGGCCCCACGCGCACCATCCCAAAGTCTGTCAGCTTCGCATCGTACTCCTGTGGCGTTGGGGAAAGGTCGACTGGGGGGATACGGAAGGATGGGTTAAAAGGCAGCCACTGTTGGGACACTTTTTGTAATCCCTCGCACCATCCCGAAATTTGTCAGCGTTGCATCATATTCTTGTGGCGTGGGGAGGGTAAGGACGAGTGGGAAACCCGGAGGGAGGGGGCACGTGTGTTTTGAGTCGACTCGAAACACACATGGAAGATTCCATTGTTGGGGGTGGGGCAGAGGCAGGCCATTGTTGGGAAGCTATGCGATCTCTCGCACCATCCACAATCAGTTCTGACTTTTGAGTAGACTCAAAAGTAAATCCAAAAGCCATGTGATCAGTTCTGGCTTTTGAGCAGCACGTTGTCTCCCCTGCCCTTACCGGAGACAGCTATGTGATATCTCGCACCATCCACAATCAGTTCTGACTTTTGAGTAGACTCAAAAGTAAATCCAAAAGCTAGACTTGACGACCCGCACCATCCAGAATTGCGGCAGCAGCACGTTGTCTCTCCGGCCCTTACCGGAGAGAGCAGCACGTTGGCGGCTTTGAGGTCGCGGTGGATCAAGTTGACTCCGTGCAAATACGCCAATGCCTCTGCCACCTGCGTGCATGCAGTCACGGTACTTGCACACCACCACCTTCCCCCATCCGCCCCGGGGAACTCACAGGAGAGAGCAGCACGTTGGCGGCTTTGAGGTCGCGGTGGATCAAGTTGGCTCCGTGCAAATACGCCAATGCCTCTGCCACCTGCACCGCCACCTTGAGTCGCATGTTCCAGCTGAAGAAGAGCTCTCCGCTCGCACCTGGTGGAGGAAGGAGGGGGGCAGGGGAGGACGGAGAGTGAGTACAGGGTAATAGGACGGCGGTGCACCTGTTAGAGGAAGGAGGGAGGGAGGAGGTGACGGAGAGTGGGTACAGGGGAATGGGACAGTGGGGCGTGCGATGATTGCACATACGCCAGAGCCCCTGCCACCTGCACCGCCACCTTGAGTCGCCCATGCCACCCGTTGTCATGGACTCGTACATGAGTGAGCAGAGCGAGGAGAGAACTGCGTCTGCTCGAAACTGGTGGTGTACCACCCGACTGTAGTGGGGGTGAACCGTGAACCAGCACGATTACCCACCCACCCGTAGCACCCGACTCACTGGCCAATAGCGCATTGTCCAAGCTGCCCCTCGGCATGTACTCGTACACGAGCAGAGCCTCGTTACCTGTCAGCACCACTGTTGGTTACCTTCCCCTGTCACCCGACTCACTGGCCAATAGCGCGTTGTCCAGGCTGCCCCGCGGCATGAACTCGTACACGAGCAGACAGGCGAGTGGTGAGTCCACACTGCAATAATAAGCACCTCCCCTGGCACACGACTCACTGTCTAATAGCGCTTTGTCCAGGCTGCCCCGCGGCATGAACTCGTACACGAGCAGACAGGCGAGTGGTGAGTCCACACTGCAATAATAAGCACCTCCCCTGGCACACGACTCACTGTCTAATAGCGCTTTGTCCAGGCTGCCCCGCGTCATGAACTCGTACACGAGCAGACAGGCGAGTGGTGAGTCCACACTGCAATAATAAGCACCTCCCCTGGCACACGACTCACTGTCTAATAGCGCTTTGTCCAGGCTGCCCCGCGTCATGAACTCGTACACGAGCAGACAGGCGAGTGGTGAGTCCACACTGCAATAATAAGCACCTCCCCTGGCACACGACTCACTGTCTAATAGCGCTTTGTCCAGGCTGCCCCGCGTCATGAACTCGTACACGAGCAGACAGGCGAGTGGTGAGTCCACACTGCAATAATAAGCACCTCCCCTGGCACACGACTCACTGTCTAATAGCGCTTTGTCCAGGCTGCCCCGCGTCATGAACTCGTACACGAGCAGACAGGCGAGTGGTGAGTCCACACTGCAATAATAAGCACCTCCCCTGGCACACGACTCACTGTCTAATAGCGCTTTGTCCAGGCTGCCCCGCGTCATGAACTCGTACACGAGCAGACAGGCGAGTGGTGAGTCCACACTGCAATAATAAGCACCTCCCCTGGCACACGACTCACTGTCTAATAGCGCTTTGTCCAGGCTGCCCCGCGTCATGAACTCGTACACGAGCAGACAGGCGAGTGGTGAGTCCACACTGCAATAATAAGCACCTCCCCTGGCACACGACTCACTGTCTAATAGCGCTTTGTCCAGGCTGCCCCGCGTCATGAACTCGTACACGAGCAGACAGGCGAGTGGTGAGTCCACACTGCAATAATAAGCACCTCCCCTGGCACACGACTCACTGTCTAATAGCGCTTTGTCCAGGCTGCCCCGCGTCATGAACTCGTACACGAGCAGACAGGCGAGTGGTGAGTCCACACTGCAATAATAAGCACCTCCCCTGGCACACGACTCACTGTCTAATAGCGCTTTGTCCAGGCTGCCCCGCGTCATGAACTCGTACACGAGCAGACAGGCGAGTGGTGAGTCCACACTGCAATAATAAGCACCTCCCCTGGCACACGACTCACTGTCTAATAGCGCTTTGTCCAGGCTGCCCCGCGTCATGAACTCGTACACGAGCAGACAGGCGAGTGGTGAGTCCACACTGCAATAATAAGCACCTCCCCTGGCACACGACTCACTGTCTAATAGCGCTTTGTCCAGGCTGCCCCGCGTCATGAACTCGTACACGAGCAGACAGGCGAGTGGTGAGTCCACACTGCAATAATAAGCACCTCCCCTGGCACACGACTCACTGTCTAATAGCGCTTTGTCCAGGCTGCCCCGCGTCATGAACTCGTACACGAGCAGAGCCTCGTGGCCCTCCATGCAGTAGCCGTGCAGACGCACGAGCAGCGGGTGGGACAGCCGCCCCAGCACGATTGCCTCTCTCTGCAGTGATTTGGAAGGGGGACAAAGGAGGATCAGAGGGGCGTGGTGTGTGTGTGTGTGTGTGCGTGCAAAATCTCCATGAGGTAACAGTACAGGGGCAGTGAAGGCGCAGTGCAGGCGCACGCAGTGCGGGCGGGACAGCTCTGCAGCACGATCACTTCTTTCTGCACAAGGGGTGTGTGTGGGCGTGGTTTGTTTGTGTGCGTGGTAAAATCTCCAAACAGCAACGGTGCAGGCGCACAAGGGTGCGGAGGAAGAGACCTCCAGCAATTTTCCTGCATTTGAGGCTGAATCTGTTTTTTTTTTAGAAATCGTTTTTTGAGAATTCTAAAAAAGGGACGCTCGTTAGAAAAAGTTTGCATCACATCACACCCTGTCATCTCATGCACGCACCTGCCGTAGTATCATGACCCCCATTGTTCTCCCACCCACCCACGCACGCACGCACGCACGCACGTACGCACCCACGCACGCACGCACCTTAAACTCTTCCGAAAATCGTTCGTTCGCCTCGCGCATTCTCTTAATCGCCACTTCTGTCCGCTCAGGGCCAAGCCCATTCGACCCCGGCGAAATTATCCCCCAATACACTGTCCCGAACCCGCCTTCGCCAATGACATTTCGCCGATGAAACCAGTTCGTCGCAGACTCGAGTTCGGCGAACGAAAACCGTCGCAGGGAGCTCGGGATGAGGTCAGGGAGAGGATTGTCGCTGGTAGTGTCAATCGCACTAGGATTCGCGGTTGAACCGTCGGCCAAAGCACTATTACCGGCGTCACTGGCGCTAGGATTTGGGGCTGAGACGTCAACCGGAACAAGATTATCGGTGTCACTGGCAGTAGGAGTCGAAGTTGAACCGTCGACCGAAACAATATTACTAACGGTGTCACTGGCACTCGGATTCGCGGTTGAACCGTCGACCAAAACTAACTTATCCGTGTCACTGGCAGTATTCGAGGTCGGAACCACAATAAAGTTATTGAAGGTACTGGCGCTAGAAGGATTTGCGGTTGAGCTGCCGAGCGAACCAATATTATCCGAGGTTTGAGAGGTGGCGGTTCTGACAGATGATTTATTCTGGCTGCTGGGGCTGGCCTTGACGGCGCCACTATCAATGATTGATGTCCGTGTGTCACGGTCGTCTGATTGAAAAGGGACAATGGAGAGGGGAATCGGGTTTATTGCAGAGTAGGGGAAATGGAGAGGGAGAAGTAAGGTTACCATCGCATTGGAGTCGTCGACTTACCCCATCCGCTTGAAAATTATATCATATCTACTTCGCCTGCTTCAGAAAAAAATATGAGATTTTGCTGAACAGGTTCGAATCAAATAGAGCGCATTCTTTCGGCCACACGATCCGAGGCACCAATGCCTCTTTTTTTTTGTACATTCTGCCAAATCGCTATTCAGATCGTCTGAGAGAGACATAGGGACCGACGTACGTACCCATTTTCGACATGAAACAACCCATTCTTCTTCACGTAAAAGAGTTTGACGCGGCGGCCCTGTTATTGAACCAGAATTCGGCTTTCAGTCCATGTAGGGAAGAAAACAAAGTTCGATATCTACGTCTGTCAGCTACTACATTCCCATTCCACTGCCCGTTGCTATGCAAGCGTAGTAGGACATAAGGCGATTATGTTCACTCCGTTACGCAGTAAGGCTGAACATGAAGACTAGTGATAGGGAGCCTTGCACGGTTACGACTACAAGCGGCTGCGAATGCGTTCCGTGTGCTAGTTATAAACAAGTATACTGAACGCCGTTTGTCTATTTTACAAAAACGACCGAACCAGTGTCACTCGGTACGATCTGGAGAAGGAACGATAGGAACGCTTTGAATGCGAATACTCTCTGTTACGCAGTCTTAAATAATATACTGTAATGCAATGGTGCGAATACTAGTATCAGTGAGGCGTCAAAGACCTGAGCAGCAAGAAGCAGGCTGCTTTATTACGAGAAAGAAACCGACGAGTATGTTTAGAGACTCGGGAATTGGTTTCTCAGGTTTCTCAGTTGAGTGTGTGCGGGAGAATCCCGAGGGAACCAGTTGCGTAATCCCGCTGAATTTCGTGTGTCAGCCTGGTCGCAACTTCGTAACAATCTCGTCTGTACCTAGCGGAGTGCTTCGCCACAAAAACCATCGCCAAAGACCCAACGAAAAGAGCTGTTTGGCTCGCACGCTAAGCCGCAGCTTCCATCCCATATCCAAGAGCCAGAAGGATGGATGCACAGAAGGAGCCAGCTTTCGTTCCGTCAAGCGGGGACAACCTTCGTCTAACCGAGTACTGTAGTAGAGCCAAGCCGATGAGAAGTGTTGACGGAAAATGACGGACAGACCCTGCTTTCCTGCCAGGATATTGGACGGGGGCAACCGTCGAGCCACAGCTGATGAACGAGCGACATGGCACACAGGGAGTTGGGTTGGGCTGGGCACACCCACTAGTCGTGCAAGTGAATGACAGTCGCCTGGTGGTGGTGTGGTGGTGCCTTGTAGCGCAGTTCCCCTCCCCTTCCAGAAGCCGGCTTCACATCCTCCCTTGTGGAACACTGCTGTAATATCTGGAGCGTTTCCTTCATTCTACAACTGCTACTGCTCACGTGTCTGAAGATTGATAAACGGGATCACAACAAATTAAAACATTCAACCCATAAATGATAATAAATGATTCCATATCTGGAACCACATCACAAACACGAAAATCCGTGCATAAGGCCAAGGAAGTAAGTTGGGAATTTGTGCTCCTTGCAGCATGATCGGATCACCCAAATCATGTAGGACTTTCTGCTTCTATTCCGCATTCATTATGAAGTGTTCCTCTTCAGCTATTTTACAGAACAAAACAATGTTGCTGGGAAGTAAATCAACCAATAACCTGTACTGGTGCCACAGCTACTGACGACCTCTCTTCGCCCCCATTCACCTCCGTATCCCCCCTTTCAGCTGACACTAATTCCCCTGCCTCCAACGATGCAGCTTCAGCTGCTGCTTTCGCTTCAGCATTTGCACACGCCTTAACCAATAACTTAAGCTTTTCCAATACAGTCCCAATCTCTGGCCGTTTTGTCCGATCCTCCGCCACGCAGTGCCGAGCCAGAATTGCCAAGCGTAGGGGGCTTTGCTCCGGGTACTGGTTACCAAGCCGAGGATCCACATACGGGTATGTTGGAGGCCTGTGCTTGGTCTAAATAGGTTCTGCACTCTTCAGCCAACCCATCTCCCTCCTCTGCCACTCTCTTGCCGGTTACCAGCTCTAGCAGGAGAACACCAAAGGAGTAGACGTCACTCTTGACACCCAGGCGGCCTGGGGAAGGGGAGGGGGTTCGTGTGGGAAAGAAGGTGTCCTGTGGTGGTAATGCTTGTACACAGGGGTAATGCTTCCCTCAGTACCCTTGGATGCCAGTGCACCCCAACGCCCTCTTCCCTAGAAACCCTTGAGAGCCTGTCTCCCCCAGCCACACACCTGTCCCCATGTAGGGTGTTACTTTTGAGAATTCTCAAAAAGTCTCCCCCAGCCACACACCTGTCCCCACGTATGAAGGTCGATGTAACCGCGAGTGCCCATGATGTGAGTATGCATGCTAGTCATAGTCCCCTAGAGTCCTAGCCACACACCTATCTCCATGTAAGAAGGGTCCATGTATCCCGGATTGCCCATGATGCAAGATGGATGCCAATCCTGGTATGCAAGTGTCTCTTCAACACACACCTGTTTCCATGTAAGAAGGGTCCATGTAACCCCGGGGTGCCCACAATGTAAGTACGGATGCCAATCCTGGTATGCAAGTGTCTCTTAAACACACACCTGTCTCCATGTAAGAAGGGTCCATATACCCCGGAGTGCCCATGAGGCGAGTTGACACTATCGACCGCAGTTGCCTATCCGGCCCCACGCGCACCATGCCAAAGTCTGTCAGCTTCGCATCATAGTCCTGTGGTGTGGAGAGGGAAGGGACGAGTGGGAGATTCGGAGGGATGGGGGTAAGGGCCAGTCAATGTCACAACCAAGTTGCCTATCTGGCCCCACGCGCACCATGCCAAAGTCTGTCAGCTTTGCGTCGTAGTCCTGTGGCGTGGAGAGGGACGAGTGAAGGAAAGGGAGGAAGCTGTAAGTGACGATTCACACCACCTCACGGTCTGGACAATCGACCGCAGCTGCCAATCAGGCCCCATACCGTGAGGCCACAGGACTTTGGGGCCTGATATCGCGCACCATGCCAAAGTCCGTCAGCTTTGCATCGTAGTCCTGTGGCGTGGAGAGGGAAGGGACGAGTTGGGAATACGGAGAGGGGAGAGAGGAAGCCAGTGGTGGGGGAGGCGAGGCTACATGTGACGTATTCACACCGCATTCATGTGACGTATTCACACCGCATTCATGTGACGTATTCACACCGCATTCATGTGACGTATTCACACCGCATTCATGTGACGTATTCACACCGCATTCATGTGACGTATTCACACCGCATTCATGTGACGTATTCACACCGCATGTGACGTATTCACACCGCATTCATGTGACGTATTCACACCGCATTCATGTGACGTATTCACACCGCATTCATGTGACGTATTCACACCGCATTCATGTGACGTATTCACACCGCATTCGTGTGACGTATTCACACCGCATTCATGTGACGTATTCACACCGCATTCATGTGACGTATTCACACCGCATTCATGTGACGTATTCACACCGCATTCATGTGACGTATTCACACCGCATTCGTGTGACGTATTCACACCGCATTCATGTGACGTCTCACACCGCATCACACCATGTCATCTTTGGAAAAGGAAAGAGTGGGGAGATTCAAAGGGATGGTGAAGGCAGCGCTGATGGCTTGCTGCCTGTACTATCTGCCCTGCAACCTCCCCTCTCTCCCATGCCCTTACACGCACTCACAGGAGACAGCAGCACGTTGGCGGCTTTCAAGTCACGGTGAATGAAGTTGGCTCCGTGCAGATACGCCAGTGCCTCTGCCACCTGCACCGCCACCTTGAGTCGCATGTTCCAGCTGAAAACGAGCTCTCCCTTCGCACCTGATGGGTGGGTTGGGGGAGTGAGGAGTGGGTTCAGGGGAATGGGACGGTGGGGCGACTCACAGCTCCATGCAAATACGCCAGTGCCTCTGCCACCTGCACCGCCACCTTGAGTCGCATGTTCCAGCTGAAAACGAGCTCTCCCTTCGCACCTGATGGGTGGGTTGGGGGAGTGAGGAGTGGGTTCAGGGGAATGGGACGGTGGGGCGACTCACAGCTCCATGCAAATACGCCAGTGCCTCTGCCACCTGCACCGCCACCTTGAGTCGCATGTTCCAGCTGAAAACGAGCTCTCCCTTCGCACCTGATGGGTGGGTTGGGGGAGTGAGGAGTGGGTTCAGGGGAATGGGACGGTGGGGCGACTCACAGCTCCATGCAAATACGCCAGTGCCTCTGCCACCTGCACCGCCACCTTGAGTCGCATGTTCCAGCTGAAAACGAGCTCTCCCTTCGCACCTGATGGGTGGGTTGGGGGAGTGAGGAGTGGGTTCAGGGGAATGGGACGGTGGGGCGACTCACAGCTCCATGCAAATACGCCAGTGCCTCTGCCACCTGCACCGCCACCTTGAGTCGCATGTTCCAGCTGAAAACGAGCTCTCCCTTCGCACCTGATGGGTGGGTTGGGGGAGTGAGGAGTGGGTTCAGGGGAATGGGACGGTGGGGCGACTCACAGCTCCATGCAAATACGCCAGTGCCTCTGCCACCTGCACCGCCACCTTGAGTCGCATGTTCCAGCTGAAAACGAGCTCTCCCTTCGCACCTGATGGGTGGGTTGGGGGAGTGAGGAGTGGGTTCAGGGGAATGGGACGGTGGGGCGACTCACAGCTCCATGCAAATACGCCAGTGCCTCTGCCACCTGCACCGCCACCTTGAGTCGCATGTTCCAGCTGAAAACGAGCTCTCCCTTCGCACCTGATGGGTGGGTTGGGGGAGTGAGGAGTGGGTTCAGGGGAATGGGACGGTGGGGCGACTCACAGCTCCATGCAAATACGCCAGTGCCTCTGCCACCTGCACCGCCACCTTGAGTCGCATGCTCCAGCTGAAGACGAGCTCTCCCTTTGCACCTGGTGGGTGGAGGAAGGAGGGCGGGTGAGAGAGCCAGTAGTGAGGAATGGGAAGGCGGTCATGTCTTACCACCCGTAGCACCCCACTCACTGTATAATAGCGCTTCGTCCATGCTGTCCCCCGGCATGAGCCCGTACACGAGCAGGGAGAGTCGACTGCTGAGTCCACTCTACCCTGGTGGTGTACCACCCGTAGCACCCGACCTGTTGATCTGAAGGTTAACCACCCGTAGCACCCCACCTGTTGATCTGAAGGTTAACCACCCGTAGCACCCCACCTGTTGATCTGAAGGTTAACCACCCGTAGCACCCCACCTGTTGATCTGAAGGTTAACCACCCGTAGCACCCCACCTGTTGGTCTGAAGCTTCACCACCCGTAGCAACCCACTCACTGTCTAATAGCGCCTTGTCCAAGCACCCCCCAGTCATGAACTCGTACACGAGCAGAGCCTCGTGGCCCTCCATGCAGTAACCGTGCAGACGCACAAGATGCGGGTGGGACAGCCGGCCCAGCACGATCACCTCTTTCTGTTCAAGAAAGAATGGCGGGTGGAGTTGGGAAGGGAGGTGGATTGAGGTGGGCACTCCATGCAGTAGCCGTGCAGATGCACGAGATGCGGGTGGGACAGCCGGCCCAGCACGATCACCTCTTTCTGCAAGTAAGGGGATGGGGAGCAGGGTTGGGGTAGAGGGATGTGAAGGGTCCAAACAGAAGCCGTGCAGACAGCGGGCCAGCACGATCAACTCTTTCTGCAGTGATTTGAATGGGGGACAAAGGAGGATCAGAGGGACGTGGCGTGTGTGTGTGAAATCTCCAGGCGGTAACCCGCAGGCGGTAACCGTGCAGGTGGTAACCGTGCAGGTGGTAACCGTGCAGGTGGTAACCGTGCAGGCCATAACCGTGCAGGCGGTAACAGTGCAGGCGCACAAGACGCAAATGGGAAAGCCCCCCAGGACGACCACTTCTTTCCGCACAGAAGGTGTGTGTGGCGTGGCGTGGCGTGGCGTGGCGTGTGAGCAAAATCTCCATGCAGTGACCGTGCAGGCGCACGAGATGTGGAGGGACGGCTCTGCAGGCAATCTCTCGGCATGTGAGGGGGTGGGCATTGTGCGGGGAAGCGATGCTCTCGTTAAGGGAGTTGGCGACCTACCCTCTCATCTCATCTCATGCACACACGTGTCATATGACCCCCATTTTTCTCCCACCCACTCACCCACGCACGAACGCACGCACGCGCGCACGCACCAGAAACTCTTCCGTATAACGTTCGTTCGCCTCGCGCATTCTCTTGATCGCCACCTCCGTCGGCTCCGCGCCAAGCCCATTCGGCCCCGGCGGGATCATTCCCCAATACACTGTCCCGAACCCGCCTTTGCCAATGCAGTTTCGGCGATGGAACCAGTTCGTCGCAGCCTGGAGTTCGCCGAATGAAAACCGTCGCAGGGAGCTCGGGATGAGGTCAGGTCGGGGATTGTCGCAGGTAGTGTCGCTGGCGCTAGGATTCGCGGTTGAACCGCCGACCAAAACAGGATTACAATCGGCGTCTCTGGCGCTAGGATCAACGGTGGAACCGTCGACCAAAACTACTCTATCGGTGTCGCTGGCACTATTCGAGGTCGAAACCACAACAAAAACATTGAAGGTACTGGCGCTAGGGTTCGCGGTTAAACTGTCGAACGAATCAATATTATCCGAGGTTTGAGAGCCTCTCAAGCTGGCGGTTTTACTAAGAGATGATTTGAACTGGCTGCTGGGTCTGGTCTTGATGGCGCCACTATTTATGATTGATGTGCTTGTTGCACCGTGGTCTGATTGAAAAAGGGCAGAGGAAAAGGAAATCGAGGTTATTCACAACGGAAGGGAAATGGGGAGGGGAGAAGAAGGGTTACCATCGCATTGGAGTCGTTCACTTACCCCATTCGCCTGAAAATTATCGCATTTGTTCCAGCGAAATCTCTGAAATAAACTGACTTTTCGCTGAACTGGTTTAATCCTCATAGAGCGCATTCTTTCGGCCACACATGTATGTATTTAACCTTCTGCCGAGTCGTTACTCAGAGCGTCTGAGAGAGGCATAGTATGGGACCGGCGACGTACCCATTTTCGACATGAAACAACCCATTTTCTTCACGTGAACGATTTTTGACGCGGCAGCGTTATTATCGGACCAGAATCCGGCTTTCAAACATTGAAACGTAGAGCGATACTACGCCTGTCGGCTACATTCCCATTCCACTGCCTGTTGCTATTCCATGCAAGCGTAGCACATCATGCGATTATGTTCCCTCCGCGAAGCAATAAGGCTGAACATAAGGAGTGATAGAAAGCCTTGCGCGGTTACGACTACGAGCGGCTACGAATGCGGTCCGTGTGCTGGTTATGGACAAGTATCTCAACATAACAAAAACGACCGAGCCAGTGTCACTCGGTACAGGAAAAGGAACGATACTAAGAGCGGTTTGATTACGTTGTTACATTAACTGCAGTCTTGAAAGAGTATTAATGCAATGGTGCGCATACTGCCAGTATCAGTGAAGCGCTAAAGACCTAAGCAGCAAGAAGCAGGCTGCTATTTTATCAGTAACTAACGAATGCATTAGTGGACGTTTAGCGTGAGACTAGGAGCCCGAAGTGGGATGTTGTCGACCTATGTCGATGGATGTCGAAGGATGTGAACTGATGTCGACAAATCTTGACGGTCGGAACCCTCGATCCGAGGGCTGACATTAACCAACAACCCCAAAGTGTGTCGAGGGATGTCGATGTTCTCTTCGGACACCTCACATTTCTGATAAATGTGCGGGCGAGAGAATCCCTCTGAATTTCGTGTTTAGCCTGGAAACACCTTCATAACAATCTCGTCTGTATCGCGAAGCCTCTTTGCCACTGAAACCATCGCCAAAGCGCCAACGGAACAAGATATTTGGCTTGTACAGCACAGTCGCAGTCTCCGTTCCATGCCACCAGACGAACCGACAACCAAGGCGAGAGAATTGTTGCCAAATGCTGGATGCACGAACGGAGCCTGCTCTCGATTTGTCCAGTCAGGACAACATTTGCCGACTTTTGTCGACCCAATCCGATGAGAAATGTCGAGTTGACAGAGAAAGACAGACGGACTGATCCTGCTTCCCTGCCAGGTTACAGTTTTGTAACTGCCTGAACGGGTGACGCCTTAGGAAGGAACGCGTAACAGTACATCCGTCCATGCTGCTGACATTCTGTATACTGACATCCAGAGTGAAAAAACACGGTCTAGGATGGTTTTATCATATGTCGGTATGGTTTAATAGGCCAAATCAAATAAAACACGGTCAGCCAGGCAGTAACGCGCGGTTCATTGTCTTGTAGAGAGAAACAAGGTACGAACTGTTTAGTTCCATTTGCTTGCACCATGCGAAGTAGCGAACGCCGCCTACTAGGTGGCAGGCATGGCTTGGCACAGCAGCACAGGCAGATTGGGGAGGGGACACACCCACTGGACGTGCGAGCGAAAGTAACGGCCCTCCACCCAGTCGTGCCTGTACTGTACAGTATGCAAATTGACTTCCAGAAGCTGGTTCAACATCCTCGCTTGTGGAATGCTCCTGGTTTCATTAATCCATTCTACACCTGCGGCTGCTCAAGTGTCAGAAGGTTGAAAAATGCCCAGAAGAGGTCCAGTCTAACAACCCGTCGCAAATTCAATAAGTTTGAATTACATCAGACACTAGGTTCTTCGCTTGTGGCCAGTGAATTAAGCTGGGTAATTGTGCACCCTACAGCAGCATGATCACCCAGATCCTGTATGTAACTTCCTACTTCAATCTCACCCTAATTTCGAAGTGTTGCTGTTCGGCTATCTTACAAGAGATAAATCTACATTGTCAAGAACTAAATCAACCAATAACCTGTACTGGTGCCACAGCTGCTGACGACCCCTCTTCACCCCCATTCACCTCCGTATCCCCCCTTTCAGCCGACCCTGATTCCCCTGCCTCCAACGCTGCAGCTTTAGCTGCCGCTTTCGCTTCAGCATTTGCACACGCCTTGACCAATAACTTAAGCTTTTCCAATACGCTCCCAATGTCCGGCCGGCTCGACCGAGCCTCTGCCACGCAATGCCGAGCCAGAGTCGCCAAGGTTCGGGCGCCCAGCTCCGGGTACTGGTTACCAAGATGGGGATCGACATATTCTGCGGCTTTAAGTGAGAGATCCGAGAGGCGTGTTCTGCACTCGGTAACCATCTTGCTTCCCTCGTCCACCACTCTTCTGCCGGTTACCAGCTCAAGCAGGAGCACGCCAAAGGAGTAGACGTCGCTCTTGGCACCCAGGTGACCTGTGGTGGAGTGGAGGGCAGGGAGGGACAAAGTGGGGTGGGAAGGGACGGGGGAACAAATTGGAGCTCATGATGCGGGTTGAGATGATCGACTCCACCTGATCTTCCGTTGAGGTGACTGACTTTTGAGTCGACTCAAAAGTCCCATCCTGCCCTGTAACAGCTCCACCCCCACACCCTCTGTATTGTTCATGCTACTCAAAATCCACTCCACACACCTGTCTCCATGTATGTAGGGTCGATGCACCCCTCTCAGTCCCCATGATGTGGGTTGAAACACATATACCTCATATACACACAGTCAGTCACGGTCACAGTCCCAGTTCCCCCCCCTATACAGACACACACCTGTCTCCATGTAAGTGGGGTCGATGTACCCCTGTCCCCATGGTGCGAGTCGAAACAATCGACTCCAGCAAACCTTTTGTCTGCCCTCATCTTGCCCTGCAACAACCCCCCACAACCTCGGGAATGTGCAACCTCCACACACCTGTCTCCATGTAAGTAGGGTTGATGTACCCCTCAGTCCCCATGATGCGAGTCGACAATTTTTAACTCCAGCTCATCTGCTACCCTGTGCATGCTTTTCAAAATCCCCTCCACGTACCAGTCTCCATGTAAGTGGGGTCGATGTACCCCTCAGTGCCCATGATGCGAGTTGAGACGATCGACTCCAGCTGTCCCTCCGGCCCCACGCGCACCATGCCAAAGTCTGTCAGCTTCGCATCGTAGTCCTGTGGCGTTGGGGGGAGAGGACGGGTGGGAATATTGGGAGTACGGGGGAAAGGGGGCAGTCATTGCACGGAAGCTATATGTGATGACTCGCACCATGCCAAAGTCTGTCAGCTTCGCATCGTAGTCCTGTGGCGTGGAGAGGGAAGAGACGAGTGGGGAAATTCGGACGGACGGGGGAAAAGGCGGCCATTGTTGGGAGTTTGTTTGTGAAGCCGCGCACCATGCCAAAGTCTGTCAGCTTCGCATCGTAGTCCTGTGGTGGTGGGAGGGAAGGGACGAGTGGGGAATGGGAGGATGGGCCAAAGGCAGCCATTGTTGGGAGATTGTTTGTAATGCCGCGCACCACTCCAAAGTCTATCAGCTTCGCATCGTACTCCTGTGGCGTTGAGGGGAGGGGACGGGTGGGAATATTGGGAGTATGGGGAAAAGAGGGCAATCATTGCAGGGAAGCTACATGTGATGACTCGCACCATTCCAAAGTCTGTCAGCTTTGCATCATATTCCTGTGGCCTTGGTGGTGGGGAAGGGAGGGACCAGCGGGGGGGGGGATTGGAGGTGTTACTTTTGAGAATTCTTAAAAGAGGAGGGCAGCTTGGATGGAGAGGGCAAGACGGGGGTTGTTGGAGTGCTGCCTCTGCTATCTGCACTCTGCTATCTGCACTCTGCTATCTGCACTCGGCTACCTTCTCTTCGAGCACTCACAGGTGAGAGCAGCACAGTTGCCTTGCTTCCCGACAACCCATGAGATCACACGCGAGAGCACCACGCTGGTGGCCTAGGGGCCCCTCAGCTACCTACCTGCACCGCCGCCTTCCGCATTCGCCCCAAGCAACTCAACTCCCCTCTCCCCCCCGTGCATTCACATGCGAGAGCAGCCCTCTTGACTTGCTGCCTCAGCTACCCGCACCGCTTCCCCCACTCTCCAAGCAACCCGCCTCGCCTCTCGCCTGCTCTTACTGGGGACAGCAGCACGCTAAGTCGTGCTTTGAGTCGACTCAAAACACGACAGCAAGACGCTGGCGGATTTGAGGTTGCGGGGAATGAAGTTGAGTCCGTGCTACCTGCTACCTCCCCTCTCCTATCCATGCCCTTACCGGTGACAGCAGCACATTAGCGGCTTTAAGGTCGCGGTGAATGAAGTTGAGTCCATGCATGTACGCCAGCGCCTCTGCCACCTGCACCGCCACCTTGAGTCGCATGTTCCAGCTGAAGAAGAGCTCTCCGCTCGCACCTGGTGGGTGGTGGGAGGGCGGGAGGCGGGGAAAGAGGGATCATAGAGCCTGTATTGAGGAATGGGAAGGCGGGACGTTGGGGAAACGGGAGTAGAGGGCAGGCAGAGAGGGAGGGCAGCAGGAAAGGTAGAGAGAGCAGAAATGCAGAGAGGAGGGTGAGAGCAGAGAGGTGCAAGCAGCCCCCCGTCACGAACTCGCACACGAGCAGAGAGAGGAGAGAGCTGAGTGGAGAGAGCTGAGTGGAGAGAGCTGAGACACCCTGGAGAGAGCTGAGTAGCTACCTTACCCTGGTTCCACCCTCGCTGCCTGCCAGCAAGCATTCCCCCACTCACTGTCCGAAAGCGCGCGGTGCAGGCAGCCCCCTGTCATGAACTCGTACACGAGCAGAGCTTCGTCTCGCTCCATGCAGTAGCCGTGCAGACGCACGAGATGGGGGTGCGACAGCCGGCCCAGGACGATCACCTCTTTCTGCACGAGAGGAAATGGGAGTGGGGTTGGGGTAGAGGGATGTGAAGGGTCCATGCAGTAGCCGGGCAGACGGACGAGGTGCGGGTGAGACAGCCGCCCCAGCACGATCACTTCTTTCTGCACGGGGTTGGGAGGGGTTGTAAGGGGTGGTGGAGTGGGGTTGATGCGCAGGGTCCATGCAGTAGCTGAGCAATGCACGAGATGCGAGTGGGACAGAGGCACCAACACGATCGCCTCTTTCTGCACACGAAAGTTTCGGGTGGGGTTGGGAAGGGGGATGGGTTGAGGTGGGTTGAGGTGGGTTGAGGTGCAGCAGCCGTGCAGGCGCACGAGATGGGGATGCGACAGCGGGCCCAGCATGATCACCTCTTTCTGCAGTGATTCGGCAGGAAACAAAGGAAGATCAGGAGGGCGGGGTGTGCTTGTGAACGCTCAGTGCAAGTAGCCGTGCAGACGCACGAGGTGCGGGTGCGACAGCCGGCCCAGGACGATCACTTGTTTCTGCGCGAGAGGGGTTGGAAGGGTGGTGGGTTGGGGGTGTGAAGGCTGCACGCAGTAGCCGTGCAAGAGGAGACAGCCGCCCCAGCAAAATCACCTCTCACGCACGCCCTTGCCACAAAGCACCCCTTTCCCGCACGCACGCACAAACGCACGGAGACACAAACGCACGCACGCACCAGAAACTCTTCCGTGTATCGATCGCTCGCCTCGCGCATTCTCTTAATCGCCACTTCCGTCGGCTGCGGGCCAAGCCCATTCGGACCCGGCTGAAGCACCCCCCGATACACGATCCCAAACCCGCCTTCGCCGATGCAGTTTCGCCGATGGAACTTGCTCGTCGCAGACTCGAGTCCGGCGAACGAAAACTGTCGCAGGGAGCTCGGAACGAGGTTCGCAGGGTTGGGAATGGCGCCGGCACTGTCGCCGGCACTTAGGTTCGTGCTTGAACTGTCGGCCGACACAAATTTGTCGGAGGTTTGAGAGGTCGCGGTTTGAAACGAGGATTTATTCTGGCTGTTGGATTCCGACTTGCTGGCGCCGCTATCAGTAATTGTTGCGCTTGTTCCACCGTGGTCTGATGGAAAAGGGACGGTGGAACGGGAAAATCGAAGGTATTCCAAGAGAAGGGAAACGGGGAGGGGAGGTATTAAAATCGAAGGTTATCATTGCACTTGAGTCTGCGACGCCCGTCCGCGTCAAAAAAACATATTCAAGACACGGCTAATGCCGACATAGACTCCGTACTCAACTTATGTGAGTACGCGGCGTTACGATGGATTTCTGAGAGTGAATTAAAAAATATAAACCTGGTTGTTCTGTGCTCTTTTTTTTTAATTTCCGGGCAAAACCCGAGTTGCCGATTAACAGGATTGCTTCAGATCGAGTGACGCCTTACGACCAGACGATCATAGACAACAACAATTGTGTATAACATTCTGCCGAGAGTCATTATTTAGAGTGTCTGAGAGCTTGAGACATAGGGGATTGGCGTACGTACCTAATGTCGACACGAGACAACCCATTCTTCTTCGCGTATAATAATTTGACGCGGCGGCTGCGCTGCTATTGGACCATTGGCCAGCATTCGGCTTTCAAACCATGAAGGACAGAGAGAGAGAGAAAAAAAACGATTTTAAGGTCGCCTACATTCCCATTTCTCTGCTGCTGCTACTCCATGCATAGGACCTCAGGAGATTATGCTTACTCGCTAGAAGTAAGGCCTAATACTGGAGGGAGCCTCTCACGACTACTATTAAGAGGCGTTGCGAACGCGTTCCATGTATTAGTTAATATGGACGAGTATCTTCGAAACCACTGTCAGTCCGTACAATCTGGAAAAGAAGCGACAGGATTGCTTGCAAGTATAGGAACTGCCGTTCTGAAAGCGCTTTACTGCAACGAATAATGGGGCAGTCAAGTCCTAAAGGAAAAAGCTGGCAATAATTTTACCAGAAACTAAGGAATAATTCTAGTGACCTAGGAAATGGTTGTAGATGCTTCAGTCAGTCAAGTACTCTCAAGAACCACAGCAATGGCTCTGAGTGTTGTGTTCTAACTTGGTTACGTTTCGCAACAGTGTCGTCTGTACGTCGCGAACCCCCCTGACCACCAGTATTTATCGCCAAAGGCCCCCAATTGGGCAATTTGTCTTCTGCAACGGAAAGTTCCATGCCCCAAGAACGGACCGGACTAGCCCAATAAATGTTGACGGTGAAGGACGGGACGGGATGGGACGGGAGGGAGGACGCTGTTTCCCTACAGTATCAGGATAATGTCGGTCCGGAACCGGGACACCCTTCGAACCGCAAATGAACCGAACCATAAGCAGTTGCATTGCACTACAAGACACTGTTATGGTCGGTGGCAGCCAATCGAGAGAACGGTGTGTGCTTTGGTGCCTGAAATGGCATGATGGTGGTGGCACGGCAAAACGGTTACTTTCACTGTCCACCACACCACACCACACCACACCAGACAAGCGCACGCACTGATCGTGCGAATCACAGTCACAGTCGCCCGCTCATGCCTGCGTCGCAGAGACAGTTGCGGACGCCTAGTGCAGATCGATCGTGCGACGCCAAACGCGGTGCTGGGTCGGAGGTGGGACAGTTTATTTTTACGAATATTTAGTTTTTTTGCTCCGACCCATACCGTACAGTATCTGTTTCCACACTTTCTAGTGGATGTTTATTCAATGAAACGTGGCAACAGCGTGTATTCCTGAGGTGTGTCACAAGTGCGGGAATTTGTAAGAGTTGCCGCGCATTAGCTAGTGCTCGAGAATACCAAGGAGACTTAGGGTGTGTTCTTGGCTGGTGTCTAGCTTCGGGCCAAGTTGCCTGGTGTCAGACCCCTCCAGGAACGTCTGACACAAATCGAAAAAAATCCCTCATGCCCGTCAATTTCACCTCGTGTCAAGCAGCTTGGCCCGAAGCTTGACACCAGCCAAGAACGCACCCTTAGCCAGCTGGCCGTAGCTGTAGAATGCCAGACAACTCACGCCAAAGCTCATATTACAGTAAACAGTGACTCGACTACAGCTCACCCTCCGCAGCTGTAGTGTATGGGAGGGCATATCGTAACTCGCCTTAGGACTCTCCGTCTAGACTGTAGAAATAAAGAACACAAGTCAGGCTTCCTATTAGTGTGTGAAAACGTTCGCTTACAGTAAGTGTAAGGCTAGAGATTGCAAATCTCAATACACAATTCGTTAGCTAGCAACAAGCATCAACGGGCTGGCATTTGAAATGTGGTTTGCCCAGAAGTTGGCTACAGGAAGCAAGTATCGATGGCCATACCACTCCACTGCTGCCACCGCTGCATACGGCAAGGAAGCAAGAAGAAGAAAACCCCAAATCCAGAGCATGAGAGGAACAATGAACAACAGTGCTCGTCATCGATAAGCCGAGCACATAGCAGCCCTATTGGTGACATTTGAGTCGACATGAGAGATGTGCAAGAGAGGCTTTTCCCCCAAGTGACTTTCGAGAGGGACGGGAAAGAGATGGGAGAGAGAGGCTTACATGTGAAAGCAAAGATGGGCAGCCGGGTGAGAGCACACAGCAGAGTCCCCGACCCTCCCACAAGCCCCATGTGCCTCTGCCGCCCTTCCAGCGCCAGCTCAGCAGCCCGCTGCACCGCTGCCAGCTCAGCGCCCTCCAGCACCTTCTCCACGTCCGACCACGACAGCGGCACCATGACACGTGGCAGCACCTCATTGGCCACTGCTTCCAGCCCTCCATTCTGCCATGCTGCCTGCCCCCTAAGCAGGTGTGCCCACAGTATATCCCCCTCCCCGTCCCCTCCCCTTTGTTCCTCCTCCCCCGAACCTCCCCCTGCCATGCCGCCAGATTCACCCGACCCTGACGGTGGTCCTGCCGAGCCTGCGCCGCGCCTGACGGAGAGCCAGGGTCGGTGCAGCTGGGCACAAGCAGCAATGACAACAAGCACACCGTAGGTCTGGGTGATGGCTGCGAAATAGTCACGTGCTGAGGGGAGGAATGGGGGGGGAGGAGGAAGGGGGGGAGCGGAGGAAGGGGGGGAGGGGAGGAAGGGGGGGAGGAAAGGAGGGAACAGGCATAAGATTAAGCAGCAATGACAACAAGCACACCATAGCACATCTTCCTGCGTAGCTATTCTGAAATCGACCAAAAAGCAATGGAATGTTGGCCTTTGGGTGCATCAAGCAGAGCAGAGAGCGCTCCAACCCCATCAGCAGCAGCCTACTCCCTCACGCCCACTGCTGCGTTCAGCACATCTGCACACCTGCACACCTGCACACCTATTTCAAAGTCGACTTGAAACAACGGTATACTTACCTTTGGGAGTGTCGACAGCGTTTCTGCACCGTCAGCAGAAGGCCTTTCCTTCGTGCCCACTGCTGCCTTCACCACATCACATCTGCCTGCGCACCTACATTTAAGTCTTTGCAAAATAACGGTATACTCACCCTTGGGCGCATCGAGCAGAGCAGAGAGCGTGCCAGCGCCATCAGCAGCAGCCTTCTCCCTCACGCCCACTGCTGCCTCTAGCACATCTGCACAACTATTTGCGAGTACAAACTACAAGCTAACGCTATACCCACCCTTCGGAGCGTCGAGCAGAGCCGAGAGAGTTCAAGCCCCGTCAGCAGCAGCCTTTTCCTTCACGCCCACTGCCGCCTCTAGCACATCTGCACACCTACGTATACTAATACTATTGGTGTACCCTATCACCTTTTGGAGCATCGAGCAGGGCAGAGAGCGTGCCAGCACCATCAGCAGCAGCTTTCTCCTTCACGCCCACTGCTGCCTCCAGCACATCTGCACACCGCGCCACTACAGCCCCCCACAACCGGACAAACGACGCCGCCTCCGCCGCAGAAACTGCCGAGAGAATGTTGTACCAGAAGACGGCCCTTCGGTGCACCAGCAGCGCTGCTGTGAGATCCCGGGCGGCCTGAGGGGATGGGAGCATGTGGGATGCCAGAAAGGGGGAAACTTCAATGAATGCAAGTGCAATCAGGGGAAGGTTGGGCATAAGGTTGGCAGCGGTTCAAGTAGAAAAACGGCCCTTCGGTGCACCAGAGCGCTGCTGTGAGATCCCTGGCGGCCTGAGGGAAAGGGATGGCAGAAAGGAGGAGCAAGTGCAATCAGAGGAAGGTTGAGGGAAGGTTGGGGGAAGGTTGGCATCGAATGAAGCAGACGACAGCTTCTCAATGCAAACAGAGGACAGGTTTTTTTCGAGTGACTGGAAGAGTCTGGATGAGCAACGGTGGGGAGCGCGGGAGGTTGGCAGAGGTTCAGTTCAAGTGACAGAGTGCCTTCCTGTTTTCATTGAGCCCGACCATTGGAAGCAGCCGCCTTGCCATCCCCTCTGCTGCACCCCCATCGACTCCACCACATTCCCCGCCCAGTCCCCTGCATACCCACAGCACTCACCAGATCGCAGATCTCTTCTTGCTTGAACTCCCCATCGAACGAAACAGCCCTGGCGTCTCCCTTGCTGCGCCCCAACAGCTCCCCCATCTCCCCCACCGACCGCTCGTCCCACCGCCAGTGCCCCACCCAGTCCCCTGTAAGCTACCAGCAAGCCCACCCAGTACCCCGTGCTTGCTTCCGGAATTACCCTCAGCACTCACCAGATCACATATTTCTCGTTGCTTGAATTCCCCATCAAAGGCAGCAGCTCTGGCGTCTCCCTTGCCCCGACCCAGCAGCTCCCCCATCTCCCCCACCGACCGCTCGTCCCACCGCAGAGACGCCAAGTCCCTCCCCGGCTTGCTCTCGGCTGCTGCTTCAGCTGTAGCATGTGGTGGTTCGTCCGCTGTAGCAGACGCTGCTCCAGCTGTAGCAGATCGTGTCAACAGAGTCAACAGAGTCAACAGAGTCAACAGTGTTAGCAGAGTCAACAGAGTCAAATTCAGTCAGTGGACTAAGGAGTCAACAAATTCAGCAGAGTCTAAAGAGTCAACAAAGTCAACAGAGTCAACAATGTCAACAGAGTCAACAGAGTCAACGGAGTCAAAATGCAAGAATCACAAACAGGTATATCATACACTCACCTTCCTGTAAGCTCGACGTGCCGTCCTCTGTCTGTGTCACAGCGCCCTCAGTCCCTTCAGATTCAGTGCCAATCCCAGCCACACTGCTTTCAGTGTTTGCCTCGCCACCCTCTGTGGTTGCGTTGCCACCCTCTGTGGTAGTTCCCTCGCCGCCTTCAGTGGTTGTTATCCCACCACCTTCGGTGGTTGTTTTGTCACCACCGTCTTGATCCACGTGTCCGTTTGGTAGCATTGAAGGCGCTGCTGCGCTCCTCCTCTCCCTCCACCCTTCCACGGCAGCAGGGCTGCCCAACACAGTCTCCATCCGCTGCAAGGGGAAGCACAGAGGACGCACAGAGGAAGAACAGAGGAAGAACACATCGCAAAGCATGTTAGGCGCCTTCCGATCCCGCACACTGTTCTTCATGCCTCGAGTACGAGGGCTTAAGAGGGAGAGGGCACGGACCTTGATGTCTTCCCTCACTGCAGCGGCGGCCTCCACCCGCCAATCCCCGAGAGCCATAGAGTATTGCCCCTGACAGTCAGGCAGCAGCTGCACCGCTGCAGCATGCAGGCGGCAAAGGAGAGAGGAGAGGAGATAGCGCAAGAGAGAGCAAGAGAGGGCAAGAGAGGGCAAGAGAGGGCACAGAAGCGCACTCACCTTGATATCCTCCCTCACAGCAGCAGCTGCCTCCACGCGCCCATCCCCCAGAGCCATGGAGTACTGCCCCTGGCAGTCCGGCAGCAGCTGCACCGCTGCAGCATGCGAGAGAGCTCGCGGGTAGAAGAGATCACAGGAAGGAGCAGGGAAGATAGCGCGCGAGAGAGCGCGAGAGGGCGAATGAGAGAGAACTGACCTTTATGTCTTCCCTCACTGCAGCAGCTGCCTCCACTCGTCCATCCCCCAGAGCCATAGAGTATTGCCCCTGACAGTCCGGCAGCAGCTGCACCGCTGCAGCATGCAGCCGGCACGCATACGCCTCCTCCATCCTTCCCTCCCTCACCAACTCCCCACTCAGCCGCCCATACTCATTCCGAGCTACGCTCTCCGTCCCTTCCGCCAACTCCTGTAGCGTCTCCTCCCACCGCTGCTGGGAGGTTTCATTTGGGAGGCGGATTACAGTGGGCTGAAGGACGGATTCTAAGGCTGCAGTGATGCTGGCGGTGAATACGCCCTCCCCCAGTTGAGCCCCCACTATGAGCAGCACGTGGTCTGCTGCCAGGCCCTGTAGCCCGCCCCCTGGGAGCCCGCTGCTGCGATAGGATGCACCTGCGGCACCTGAGGAACCACCTGAAGCACCTGAAGGCCCTCCTTGGGCACCTGAAGCGCCTGGACCACTACCATCGCCACCACTACCGGTTCCACTACCACCGCCGTCCACCGCCGCAAAGGACAAACCCGTGCCGCCCGCCAACCCGTCACCTTGCTCCTCCCACCCTTCTGCACTCTCCCCTGACAGCGACCCACCCACCCCTCCCCCTCCCCGCCCACTCTGCCCCACCTGCTCACTCATGGAACCCCTTAGAGGCACATCGGTAGGTGGGGTTCCTGGGGAGAGCAGCCCGAACAAACCGCCATACCCAGCAGCAGACGCCATTGCCAGAGGCACTCGTCCGGTAGAGAAAGTTTGACCCAACCGGGCCCCTTCCAGCCTCCCTCCTGCTCCTCCTCCTCCTCCCCCTGCTGCTGCTCCTCCTGCTCCTCCTGCTGCTCCTGTGCCTGCTGCAGTTCCTGCAGACGAGCTTCCATATAGAGACGAGAGCAAATCCATAAAGTTCCCGGATTTCCCAGAACCAGGAGCACCACCAGCAGCAGCAGCAGCAGCGCCAGCAGCAGCAGTGGTAGATGCATCCTTGCCTGCACCTGCCCCTGCACCTACTGCTCCCACGCCTGTGCCTGCGCCTGAAGCCTGGTCAGCTGGCTTGCTGCTGCCAGTGGAAGGGAACGGCCCGAGTGACAGCTCAGCGTTCTCCAGCTCAGCAACTGCCACGTCATCCCCGAAGAGGGAGAGAGGAATCGGACCAGCAGCAACACCAACAGCAGCCACGCCACCATCAGCCCCAGCAGCAGCCCCAGCAGCAGTGGCAGCAGCAGCGTGGGTTTCGGACATGGTTGCTGCTAGAGCTGCTGTCTCTGCTGCTGCCGCCACTGAGTTGCTTGGCACCAGCACTGGATTCGCTGCACCCGACTCATCCAGGCGAAGCGACGGATCAGGGGTAAGCGCAGTGCTGCTGAGGTCTACCCCCACAAACTCCGGGGAAGCGGAAACTGTACCCACAGCGGAGGGTAAACCAGCAGCAGAGTCCCCTCTCCCGCTGCCTGCACTCCCACTCACAGCAGCGCTCCCTGCAAAATCCCCGAAATCGTCATCATCATCATCATCAAATGAGATCTCCTTGCTTGGAGCTGCTGTGGGGCCAGCAGCAGGAGGAGCGAAAGCAGGAGGAGGGGCAGCAGCAGCAGAAGCGCCAGGAGGCGGGGCAAAGGCTCCAAAGACCGCAGCAGAGAACTGGGGTGTTGAGTCATGGGAGGGAGGGAAGGAGGAAGCAGCTGCAGCCATGCCCAAACCAGATGCTCCAGCGGGTGCAGGCGCAGAAACTGCAGGGGCGAAGGCAGCAGAGGGGACTGCTGGGGAGGAGGAGAAATCACCAAAGTCGTCATCAGGGTCGAATGCCATGGCTGCTGGTGGCACTGGTGAAGAAAAGAGTGCAGGTGCGGGTGCAGGCACGGGTGCAGGCACGGGTGCAGGTACGGGTGCAGGTACGGGTGTTGTAGGAGGTGCGGATGTGGGTGCTGCAGCAGCGGCAGAGCTAAAGACAGTAGACAGCCCAGTGCCAAAGGAGTTAAGATCTCCAGTTGCCTGAGCCCCAGATGCCTGTGTTGCCTTGGGTGCGTCTGTCTCCCCACTAGAGACAAAGTCAACGAGGTAGAAGGGGCAGGAGCAGGGTGGGACAGAGCAGCAGTAGAGGAACTCACAGAAGGCACAGTGGGAGCGAGAGCATGGGGAGCATCCGCCTTGGGTATATTCGCCTGTGAAAACTCCGCCTGAGGGGGATTTGCCTGGACAGCAGGGGCAGCAGGAGCAGCAGGAGCTGGAGCAAATGAATCTGAGAAATCCCCCCACTCGTCGTCCTCCTCTGCTGTCCCCGCCCCTGCAGCTGCAGCTGATACAGCGGCAGGCACAGCTGCTGCTGAAGGCTCTGGGGCAGCGGTGGAAGCAGCAGACTCAGTAGAGGCAGTGGGGGCTGCAGTGGAAGATGGAACGGATGAGAAGTCACCAAAGTCATCATCCTCCTCATCAGCTTCAAGGGACGATGCTGCTGCTGCACCTGGCGCCGCCACTGCTGCTGCTGCTGCTGCTGCCGTTGATTCTGCTACTGCTGATTCTTCGCCCTCCTGCTTACTCTCCTCCTCCTTCACCTCCTCCTCCTCTGGTTCCTCCTCCTCCCCAAAGAGCGACAGTGGGATGGGAGCAGCAAGGTTACGCGGCTGAGGAACAACCACTGCAGGCGCAGCAGCTGGTTTCTTGGCTGCTGGAGCTTCAGGTGCTGCTGCTGCTGCTGCTGCTGCGGCTGCTTCCTTCGCTCCACCGCCGGCTCCTCCTGTAACTTCGCCTGGCGCTGCTCCTGGCGCGGCTCCCGTTACACCTGAAGCCGCAACAGGGCCTGCACCTGGAATTACACCTGGAGCTGCACCTGAAGCACCTCCGGGGATTGAGCCAGGAGCAGCGCCAGGCACGGCCCCTGGAACAGCACCTGGAGGCCACCAGGGCATTCCCCCAGGATAGTAGGCATACTGGGGGTATTGCGGCATCCCTGATGGCATTCCTGGGGGTACCGATGCCACTGGTGCGGGGGCTGCGGCGCCAGGGGAGAGAGGTTGACCTCCTTCCCGCTGCTGCTGCTGCTGCTGCTGCTGCTGCTGCTGTTGGTACTGCTGCTGCTGGTACTGCTGTTGCTGGTACTGCTGTTGCTGGTACTGCTGCTGCTGCTGGTACTGCTGTTGCTGGTACTGCTGCTGGTGGTGTTGTTGCAGCTGCTGCTGCTGCTGCTGCTGCTGCTGCTGCTGCTGCTGTTGCTGATGCTGCTGCTGTTGTTGTGGCACGGTTTCCCCCGTCGCTCCCTGGTCCGTCTCTCCCTGCCCCTTAAAGCCCTTCACGTGCATCTTCTGCGCAGCAGCCTCCCCGGCTTTCGCCAGCAGAGCACGATCCGTGCTGCCCAGCAGACTCGCAAACGCGTCAATGCCTCCACCAGCTGCTGCCGAACCTCCCTCAGAAGCACCGTCTGCTGCAGCTGATGCGCCGGGTTTCTGGGCGGCACCAGCGGCGGCAGCGGCGGCGGCGGCAGCTTGAGCGGCGTGCATGTGTTGCATGTTTTGCATGTAAGCGGCGTACATCGGAGGGTTGACCATAACCGGCCCCGTGGGACCCATGGCGTACATCGGGTAAGATCCAGGCATCTGCAAAAGATTAAACAAGAAACAAGTGCTAAAACTTAAGCTTGCGTGTGAACATTAATTAGAATAATCAATTTCCCCATTGCGATCGCGATTTCGACCATTTCAGGGAACGAATTTGGTCGGTTTTCAACAAAGGCTGACAGGTTCGATGAAACGAATATTCAATCAAGTTGCAAGAGGGAAAAAAAAAAACTGATCGTTTGAATAAGCTACTATTGGAATGATCAAAATATCAGAATGACTCGGAAAGATTAAGCCTAAAAGACTCAAGCAGCCCTTCACCTGTTGAGGGTATCCCTGCGGTGTTGCACCAGCGTTCGCCACGTGTCCTCCCTGCAAGTGCATCATGTGCATTGCCTGCTGGTAACCAGCGACCTGCTGCGCATGTGCTCCTCCCGGATACTGCTGTGCAGAAGCACTCGCAGCGGCAGCATTAGCAGCAGCAGCGGAAGGATCCGCTCCCTGCGATGGCTGACTGGCCATCGCAAGTCAAGCTCTGAGCTAAGAGTTCCGCAATGTGGAATAAAAGACGCGGTTTTATTTCCCGGTGAGTGAAATCAGCAGCCAGAATCGACGGGATGAACAACCGCAAGGATTGTCAGGCACTGGCATTAATTTTGGAAGGAAGCAGGAACTAGAATGTATAAAAGCTAAGGACGCGGTAAAAGTAGACGATCGATCGTCAGTCGCGATCGATGTGCGGATTGGTTACCCTATTTACTTCGTTGTAACCATGCTACAGTACGTTTTTTTGCCAAAATTTCTCTACAGTGTGCGAATGCGACTGATCACTGATCGCTGGAGATCTGTCAATTTTAAAGGGGCGATCGTTACAACGTCGCGGTCGCCACGTTTCGCCAATCGATCTGCTCACTCGATTGTGGGGCTCGATATTTGCAGACGATCCTGCTATATTTGCACTTGCACCGCGTCCTAAAAGCAGCAGTTTGTGAAAATGCAATCCCAATGCTTGGTTGACACCACTGACGGATGCAGGAGGGACGCAACAGTGGTTCAGTGCAATCCCAAGGCCTGGTTCGGAAGGTGTGGTTCGGTTCGGATGGTGTCAGCCGGAGGAAGTGTTTGTTTTGAGGTTGGGCGGTGGCACGTCACAGGCACCACAGACCCTGCTGGTCACGTCCACTGCCTGATGAAAATTGATGCGACAGGTCAGTTGCCTGACGAGAAGGGAACGGGAATAAAAGTGTCGACAGTGGGATTTGAACCCACGCCCTTTCGGACAGGAACCTTAATCCTGCGCCTTAGACCAACTCGGCCATATCGACGTGTTTTAAGCTATACAAAACCTTTACGACGGGTATCATGTTGAGTCCTGTCATACAAGCAGGTTTTTTGTGTTTCTCACTTGCTCAATCTAGTTAGGTCAAACAACTTCGGTCAGCTTCATTCCTCGCGCGCGTACCTCCCGTCGTTTTCAAGCACTTGACTCATCTTAGGTCCTCGCTCCTTGTCACTTCTCGTAGCTCGGTTTCACTTACTCGTTTCTAGTAGACTCCACCTCTTCATTCTTCTTAGGCTTCACCGTGGCTGCGTCGTTCGAAGTAGGCATTAGGCCACTTCGTGCATTGCGTCGAGTCGAGTCGCCAAGATGATGGCCCTGTGGGAATACGTCCTTAATTGGTTACGCAGGTACGCTCAGCTCGCCGTCTTCCGCGCGTCCGACCCTCGATCTTGTGTGCCAGGTTGCGACAAACTCTTTTTCGTTTTGACTGTTCCGAAATCCTCGAAAGCATCTTCGGGCACACGTTGATCTCGCAGTTATCCGTCCCGTTTATTCACGATATTATCTCCTAGCTTCACCGTCTATCCCGCGTACCGCCTATCCCGTGTGTGTGTCTCCCAATCTCTACCGCGTCGCAGTCTATTCTTCCAGCAGGAGATGGAGCTCTCGCTCATCGGCCTACCCTACTACCGTTCTTACATCCTTACCATCCAACCGTCCCCCTTTCCCCACTATCCCCACCGCGTCGCAGTCTATTCTTCCAGCAGGAGATGGAGCTCTCGCTCATCGGCCTACCCTACTACCGTTCTTACATCCTTACCATCCAACCGTCCCCCTTTCCCCACTATCCCCACCGCGTCGCAGTCTATTCTTCCAGCAGGAGATGGAGCTCTCGCTCATCGGCCTACCCTACTACCGTTCTTACATCCTTACCATCCAACCGTCCCCCTTTCCCCACTATCCCCACCGCGTCGCAGTCTATTCTTCCAGCAGGAGATGGAGCTCTCGCTCATCGGCCTACCCTACTACCGTTCTTACATCCTTACCATCCAACCGTCCCCCTTTCCCCACTATCCCCACCGCGTCCCAGTCTATTCTTCCAGCAGGAGATGGAGCTCTCTCTTATCGGCCTTCAAAACGCCGGCAAGACGTCTCTTGTTAACGTCATCGCTGTAAGTCCGTTGCAGGTTTGCTCGTCGCTAGAAGATCGACTATCCGTTAGCCGTTAGTCGTCAGCCGTCAGCCGTCAGCCGTCAGCCGTTAGCCGACCGTTGCCCTTCGACTCGCGGCGAGGATGCGGGTCCACACGGCCAGATCTTCCTGCGTGCCTTCGAACCCTTTTTGGATATCTCACGCCGCCTGTTGTTGGCGCGATCTCACGCTTCTCTTGCATCTTTTCTCGCCCTTTACTCCCTACCTTGTGCTCGGTCATTGACTGTTCCCTCCTTTTTGCTGACCGTCCTTGAATGTTTACCTTGTGCCGCTCTGACCTTCCTTGAATGTTTACCTTGTGCCGCTCTGACCTTCCTTGAATGTTTACCTTGTGCCGCTCTGACCTTCCTTGATTGTTTACCTTGTGCCGCTCTGACCTTCCTTGAATGTTTACCTTGTGCCGCTCTGACCGTCCTTGATTGTTTACCTTGTGCCCCTCTGACCGTCCTTGATCGTTTGCCTTGGCGGTCCTTCTTTCTGCTGTGTGCATGTGTTCCTCTTTCGTGTGCTATGGTGTGGTGTGGCAATGTGTTCCGTCCGTTGCCTTTTCCCTCTGCGCAGACTGGCGGTTTCAATGAAGACATGATCCCAACGGTATGGTATGACACATGACATGCCACTCCGGAGAACTTAGCACCGCACTGTACCACGCCTCACCCCCCAACATCCGTCGCACACCGCACCACACTCCACACATCACTGTTTCTTTCTGCATGGCAACTGTCTCTTACTCTACCTACCCCAGGCCGCCACGCGTCAGAAACGTCTCCTTTAGCCTATTCTCCCCTTGCTTTCTCTTTCGCTCTTCCTTTCCATAGGTGGGCTTTAACATGCGCAAGGTGACCAAAGGGAATGTGAGCATAAAGCTGTGGGATCTGGGCGGGCAACCAAGATTCCGGAGCATGTGGGAGAGATACTGCCGAGGTGTGTCAGCCATCGTGTAAGCAGCAAACAACCCCCCTCATTCCTTCTCCACGTGCTTACTCATCAGGGTTAGGCTCTGTATTCCTTGCTTGCCTTCGCCTCACCACACTATCCCCCCTCCCTCTTCCTCCCCCCACCATCCCCCAAGCTCCCAATGCTCCCCCACTCTCCCTCAGCTATGGTTGATGCATCAGGCCATGACAACATCCCAGTGTGTTTAAGGCACCTCAAGAATAGAGGTGTGCCACAGAATTTCCCTTCATTCCCTCCAATCCCTCTCCTCCCACAACCCCAACGCCACCCCTCTGTCTCGTCTCCCAACCCCTCCCCCCGCTCTCTCCCAGCTATGTGGTGGATGCATCAGACCATGACAACATCTTAGCGTGGTTTTTAGGCACCTCACGATTAGGCTTCTCTTCACCCTCAATCCCCCTCCCCCCTTTCCTCCCGCTCTTTTTCCCACCCCGTCGCAGCTATGTGGTGGATGCATCGGACCATGACAACATTCCAGTGTGCTCTTAGGCGCTTCAAGAATAGCCTTCCCTTCAACGTTGATCCCCCTCCTCGCAGCTGTATGGTGGATGCATCAGGCCACGACCACATCCCAGTGTGTGTTATTTAGGCACCTGAAGAATGAGCTTTCCCTCCCCCCCCCTCCTCTCAGCTGTATGGTGGATGCATCAGGCCACGACCACATCTCAGTGTGTGTTGTTTAGGCACCTGAAGAATGAGCTTTCCTTCACCCTCAATCCCCCTCCTCACGCTTGTTCCGTCCCCTCCCCCCCCACCTCGCAGCTATGTGGTGGATGCATCAGACCATGACAACATCCCAGTGTCCCGCAGAGAGCTGCATGAGCTGCTCAGCAAGCTTTTTACCCTGCCCCTTCCCTTTCCCTTGTCCCTGCCGCTGCCTCTGCCGCTGCCCCTGCCCGCTCCCGCTTGGTTCCCCCACCCCTCGCAGCTATGTGGTGGATGCATCGGACCATGAAAACATCCCAGTGTGTTGTTTAGGCACCTCAAGAGCGGACTTCCCTTCACCTCAGTCCCCTTCCCCCGTTTTCCTCCCCCCTCTTTCCCCTGTCTTCTCAGCTATGTGGTGGATGCATCAGACCATGACAACATCCCAGTGTCACGCAGAGAGCTGCATGAGCTGCTCAGCAAGCCGTCTCTCGCCGGCATTCCGCTGCTGCTGCTGGGGAACAAGTGCGACAAGGCAGAAGCCGTTTCACGGGATGCCCTCATTGAAGCCATGTAAGCACCCTGCTTTGAATTCGCCTTGGTAATCGTCGTGATATATCACATACCGTAGCGTTCTCGTTTTGGGTTCCGCTCAACATTATTTTCTGAATGCATTTGTATATGTGGTGGTGATGGTGCAGGGGACTGAACCAGGTGATGCAGGGAAGGGAGGTGTGCTGCTACAGCATCTCCTGCAAGCACACGACTAACATTGATGTTGTTATTGACTGGCTGATCAAGCACGCCAAAAACAAGTCTTAGCGACTTCAAACTGCTGGAGTTTGTCGAAGTTGGATTATTTCTCCAACTGTTTTGTGCCACCTACGATATAGAGCCGCTAACCTCTTGTATAGCCTTTCTCTGTTCTTTAGAGCCATCTATTATCCCATGGGAATTTTCCAATTGGACTTTGTTTACCTTGTGAAGAAATTATATAGTTATTAATCTTACAGCCTGTACACCGCATGTGATTCTACAAACCTGCCACGTCGACCCATCCACATCAGCCGTCACATCGCCCTGCCAGAGCAGTGCTGAAGGCCTGTTGCATTTTACACTCAGCACACCACACCACACCACAGAACCCATCATCATCCCTTTCTTCTCCTCCCCACCTCCCTCCATCCGCTCTTCACGAAGCGTTCCCCCTCAAGGTCGCAGCTTTCCATCACATCTTGTCTCCCAGTCTCATCTCAAACTGTTTGCTCCGTTTCCCAACACCTAGTGCCATGGCTTCCCTCTCTTTCGCCGCCTCCGTCGCCACGTGTCCGGCAGTGGTCGCTTCCCTGTCAACCGCGCCGGTTTCCTCGCGGCGACTAAACGTCGAGTCGGCGCACCACGTGAACAAGAAGGCGACGGGCCGCCACGTGGCGACGCGGCCGAAGAAGCACGCGGTGTGGGACAGGAAGCGCGGCGGAACCAAGGATTACGGGCCGTTGCCCGAGGCGCCTCCCGTCTGGCGTATAGAGGAGGATGAGAAGGCTCCGGCCGCTTCGTCGTAGACACATTCTATGGCGCTTCGATAGATCCTAGTCTGGGACAGCTAGCCTGGCTTACGTGTCAACTCATAACCCTGGGATTGGTGAATATGAGGGCAATGTTCCGTGGCTGATGATTCTCCCACTCTTTTTGACTGAGTACGAGGAGGTTAAGGCGTGTCCGGTTCTTCTTAGCCACGCCAGGAGCAGGGTTTAAGACGGCGTTGTAGCTGGGTGCGGCTGTTGCCGGTCGTTCTTCCCATTGTTGATTCTTCCTGCCGTGTATGCGTCGTGGAATTATATTGTACTCTCGGCTTCCCTTAACTACGTCGCTTCGCTACTACCACCACTGTCGAGTCATTATGATGTCATCCCGATCAAGAGCATTCAAATCTCCCAGGCGTGTTTTCCTGAGGTTTGACACATTAATAGCCTTTTGCTTGTTATCCCTGAAGGGAGTTTCTACCACTCGAGACATCTCTGAGCCTTTTCGGAACGCGAGGTTTTTCCTTGCGCTGCATTGAAGCCTTTGATTGTCAGGAGCATCCGTCGACTTCTGTTCCCTTCCCGCTACCATCCTTCACCTCGCATTTCCCCCATTTCCCCTTCTCGCTCGTCTCTCTTCCCCATCCCCTGCCCCACTCCCTCCCTCCCACCCCTTCTCTTCCCACCGTCCTCTTTTCCTTCCTTCCCTTCCTCTCTCCTTCCCCCAGCCCTCCCTCCCTCCCTCCCTCCCCCCCTTCCCCCCTCCCTCCCTCCCTCCCTCCCTCCCTCCCTCCCTCCCTCCCTCCCTCCCTCCCTCCCTCCCTCCCTCCCTCCCTCCCTCCCTCCCTCCCTCCCTCTCTCCCTCCGCTCCTCTCCCCCTCCCTCCCCCCCTTTCTCCCTCCCTCCCGTTTCTCCTTTTCCTCCCGTCACATTCCCATTTTCTCTGTGCCTCCATCCCACTTGTTTGGCCCTGCTTGCTGCTCACTCAGCTTGTTTTCCATTCACTCCATATTCTCCTTGCGCTCCGCACTGTGACCTTGTGCATCCGCCGTCTGTTGATTGATGCAACATACCTCCCCTCAGTGTGCACCCCTTCTGTTGGCGGATGCATGTTAGAAGTTCAGGCCATGCTTCGTGCGCATCTACCGTACTATGTATTATGGGACGTTGCAAGCACAAAAGGAATGTGTATAAGAAAGGAAAGGTCCATTGCTGGTACGGTAAGCAAGAGGGCAGTGGCAGTGCTTACCATGCAAAGGGATGGTGTGGAAAGGTGCAAGGGATTGAGATGGAGTAGATGAGTGGAAAGTATGATGTGACAGATCAGGTTTTCTCAGCCAAAGACAAACTATGGCTGGGTGTTTCAGTTGTCGGGTTAGCCTTGCCCCTGAGCAGAGCCTTGTCAGCTTCACGGGCCTTGGTTCTGCCCCACACCTGAACATGTGCATTAGCCATATCTATTGTGATGGCTTTGAAGATCTGGTTTAGAAAAGTTCACTTCGTTGTGATGTGCAATTGCGTTACATAATTCCTGATTGGTCCAGCGGCAACACTGTACATGACACCCTAACTCCCAAGCGAAATACTGTACCACAAGCAGCATCTGAGCAGAGCTCAAGCCATTTCTGCGTCCTCCGCATACCAGCCTCAGGCAGTCCCTCCGCCACACCCTTCAACTCCCCCCCAATTCTTTCCTTCCCCCGCCTGCCATTTTCCGACAGACGGGGATCTGCGCGAACGTTTCAAGGTTTCGCCTCACTGCTGGAGTAGCGGGGAGGGGAAAATGGGGACGGGGTGCGGGGAGGCCTTTCCGCCATCCGAGTTCCAGAATCCAGATTTTGGAAGAGTTGCAGGAATGGATAAATCAGCTGGAGATACTATTTCACCCGAGTTTTAGGTTCCCAATTTTATGCTTAGTTTCAGTTAGGAGGTTTATGGCCAGGAGTGAGGTTCTGACCGACTGGTCGTGCCGGTCCGGGTTCGTCGTTAATAATTAGTTCCATTAATTTTGTCGCTTGAATGCATGGCGAATTTCCGTTCCGTCTGTACCAGTAAGAAACAGCAGCGCATACGCTTCACCTCGATACGTTCAACTTGATGCTTTCCATTTGAACCCTGTTTCTAAATCCTCAGCCGAAGGCAGTTTGCAGTCGCATTTTCAGACTTAGAACCACCCAAGGACGATTAAATATATCCATCAGGGCTGAAGCTGTCAGTCACCTTAGAATCTATTCATCCGAATTGAACCTATCAGTCAGTATAGAATCTATCAGCCATGGCGAGCGCAGCTTTGTTTCCGTCGCTCGCAGCTGCGTCGCGGGAGCCTCCGGAGGTCGTGCTGAGCAGAGTGCGCGAGTTGGTGCTGCAGATCGTGGCTGGCGGGAACCACCCCGAGGCGAGTCTGTTGCATCAGCTGGCCGCGATCATTGAAGATGAGGAGCAGTGGTGAGATTTCGTCCCATACCTTTCTCTCCTTCCCTTCCATTTTCTCGTATATTCTATTGTTCTGATTTAGTAGTTTCCCGTTCTTCTCCTTTCCTTGACGCACGTGTTTTGCTGACTGTGTACTAAATCGCGCAAAATTTCTCCCCTTATCCGTACTCCTGGCGCGTGTTTCAATTTCTCAGGTACCAGCAACAAGCGGGTTTTTCCTCGTCTAATCTCCGAGCCTCGTACACCATCGGACGAATCGTCAACTCTCTGCGCGTACGTCAGTCGTCCCTTGACACGCGTCGTACCTTTTCATTGAATCCATTTCACTGAGTTTCCATTCATTCCCTGGCAAATTGACTGTCACTTGTCACCTGTGTACCTCCTTGTAGTATCTGTTATTTGTCAATCATCTTGTAAGCATTTCGACTCGCAATTGGCTAACAATCACCCCACAACCCCCCACATCCCTCAACCTTCCCCTGTTTCCGCCAGGAGGACGACGACCTGTACGAGCTGCTCACGTCGAAGCTGCTGCTGCAGTCGTGGCGGTCGCAGGAGGAGCGAGCAGCGGGAGCTCGCCTGCTGCTCGCCTGCGCCATGAGCTTCGTGGTGAGTCCTATGGTGGTGGGGGAAGAGAGGGGGCGGGGGGGGGCGGGAGGGGTTTAAATTAATTTGGCGCCATGTCTTCCTCGTGTGCTACGTGTGTGCTTCTGCTGCGCTACCCAATCATACCCAACTCGCATCACAGTAACGCGGATTATTCGAGGAGGGAATTCCGGAGCAAGACATAGCCCGGACCACCCTCTCTTTTCGCCAGACTCGTTTTTTAGTTGCGCTTCCGCATGTTTTTCCCCTTAATTGTCCCTCACCGTTCCCCGCACCCTTTCCCCCCTCCGCCCACGTGGCCCACCCAATCAAAACCCACTGGGTTCACACCACACAGTACCGTGGAGTGTTCGAGGAGGGTATTCTCGAGCGAGTCATTGCCTGGGCCGCCCTCTCCACTCGCTCCTCCCCTCACTTGCTCGTCTTCTTTCCTCCCCCGCTCCCTTCTCCCCCCTCCCTACACTACGGTCACACCACACAGTACCGTGGGGTGTTCGAGGAGGGTATTCTCGAACGAGTCATTGCGTGGGCGGCCCTCTCCACTCGCTCCTCCCCACCCCCTGCTCGACTTCTTTCCCCTCTCCCCCCTCTGTTCACACCACACAGTACCGGGGAGTGTTCGAGGAGGGTATTCTCGAGCGAGTCATTGACTGGGCGGCCCTCTCAACTCGCCCCGCCCCTCATTTGCTCGTCTTCTTTCCCCTCTCCGCCCTCCTTTCACACCACACAGTACCGTGGAGTGTTCGAGGAGGGTATTCTCGAGCGAGTGATTGCGTGGGCCGCCCTCTCCACTCGCTCCTCCCCACCCCCTGCTCTTACCACTGCCACAACCGCTGCTGCTGCCGCTTCTGCTGGCGCTGCTGGTGGCGCCGGGGGCACGCAGGAGGAGGAGGAGGAGGAAGAGGAGGAGGAGGATGCAGGGGAGGAGGGTCAGGGGGGAGATCGGGGCGGAGCGGGAGGAACCGGGGCTGGCGGCGCTGCTGCTGCTGGTGCTGCTGCGGGTGGGGGTGGGGGTGTTGGCGTGAGTGGTGGTGCTGGTGGTGGTGGTGTGGGTGCGAGGGCGAGAGCATCGGCTGTTCTGGCGACGGACATGCTGAGGACGTTCTCTACTGGACTCGTTGCTGTTGCACTCAGCTCGTGAGTAGCACGCTCACCTCTTCGTCATTTGAGAGGTCTCGTGCCACACTTCGCCCCTTTAAACCCCTGGGTTTCTACATCCATATTCTTTCCTTGAATTCCTCCCCCCACTTTACCCCCCCAACCCTCCCCCCCCTCCCCATCTCCCATCGCAGCAACGAGGCGGCGGTGGAGCAGGTGGTGCGCACAGGCCTCGTGCCGCACCTCGCCCCTTCAAACCCCGCATACTCTAGTCTTTCCATCCATACTCTCCCCCAACTTCCAACCCCCAAACCCCCCACACTCCCATCCCAGCAACGAGGCGGCGGTGGAGCAGGTGGTGCGCACAGGCCTCGTGCCCCACCTCGCCCGCCTGCTGCGCAAGCGAGTGCTGGGGCGCGCTGCTGCTCCCTCTGCAGGGGGAGCGCGAGGCGAGGGCGGAGCAGCAGGGGGAGCAGGCGCAGGGGGAACAGGAGGAGCAGCAGGAGCAGGAACAGCAGTAGGAGGAGGGGGAGGAGGAACGGGGACGGGGGTTGTGGGAACGCCAGGGAGCAGAGGGAGCAAACTGCGTAGTGTGAGTAGCAGGGGGGAAAGTAGCGCGGCTGCCACCACCGCTGCTGCTGCTGCGGCCGCAGCTCAAATTGCTGGATTAGCAGCGGAGGCGAGAGCAGCAGCATTAGGGGTCGCGGAGGCGAGAGCAGCAGAGGAGAAAGGGAAGACAGAGGCGGTCGGTGAGGGGGTGGGGAGTGGATGTGGAAACACTGCAGCACAGGGGGATGTTGTGATGACTGCCCCTGCGAAAGCCGCATCCAACCCCCTTTCCCCGTTGGGGAAGCTGAAAGACTTAGGAGGGGGAGGGTTGGCAGCGGAAGGGGGCAGAGAGGAGCTGGGAAGCAGAAGTAGAGGGGGAGGAGGGGGTAGGAAAGCTGGATTGAAAGGGAGCAAAGCAGAGCAGGGCGCAGGGAAGGGCAAGCATGCCTCCGCCTCTGGAATTGCTGGGTCCGAGGTTGAGGGTTCAGGGTTTGGGGTTTCCGGGGCTGGGGGTTCTGCGGGTTCAGGGGTTAAGGGTTCTGCCCTTGAGAATTTACTCCCTCCTCCGAAAGCTGTTATGGTTGGGGCTGTGGATATCACTGAAGCAGTTGCAGCAGCATGGGATGCGGCGAGAAGGGAAGCAGAGGCGGCAAATGCTCCAGCTGACGTGGTGGCAGCTGCAGTGGAGGCAGCAGCAGAGTCGGTTAAGCAGGCTGCTGCTGATGCGTTGGAAGGGGGAGGAGGAGACGAGGCTGTTGCTGCTGCTGCTAGGAGCGCTGCTGATGCTGTGAGACAGGCGGCGCAAGCAGTGAGTGGGGCAGGGAGTGGGAGCAAGGGCACGGTTTTATATGCTCCAGCTGCCTCTATCCCACCTGCTGCAGGTGCAGCAGCAGACGCAGCATCAGGGGAAGCATCAGGTAGAGCAGCCAACGCAGCAGAGCGGACCCCACAGCCCACCACCCCAGCACCCTCACAGGACCCCGCCTCTGCACCATCCCCATCCCACGCCACCCCCACCAACCCCACCGGCCCCACCGCTCCCTCGGTTCCATCCTCCGTTCCAGCTGTTCCCTCCACTCCCGCACGGCCTGCATGGCAGCTGACTCGGCCGCAGGTGGCGCAGCTGAGGGAGTGGTATGCGATGCAGACACTAGCAGCACTGGGCGAGTACATGGAGGTGCTGGGTCCCGTGCTGCATGAGAAAGGCGTTGACGTCTGCCTTGCTCTGCTCAGACGCGCCACGCCTGGTCCTACAGGGGCCGAAGGGTCTGCTGCTGCTGCTGCTCCTGGTGTGGCCAGTACAGGTGGCGGTGCTTCTGCTGCCGCTGCCCCTGGCGCAGGGGATTCCACAGCAGGTGCAGCGGCAGCGGCAGGAACAGCATGCGCAGCAGGAGCAGCAGCAGCAGCAGCAGCCAGTGGGCCGATGAGTGTGCTGCTGCTGGCGGATGTGTTGAAGCTGGTGTGTGCGCTCACAGCACACCGCAAGTTCGCCACACTCTTTGTGGACCGCGGGGGCGTGCAGCTGCTGCTCTCCCTCCCCCGCGTGCCGCACACGCTCCCCGGCCTTGCTGTCGCGTTTTTCGCCCTCGCCTCCATTCAGGTATGCGACAGCAAGGCCAGGGGGGACCTACCCACATCTTTGCCCCTCCTCCCTCCCCACCTCCCTGCCCACCTCCCTACCCTCCTGCTCTCCCCGCTCTCGCCTCCCCACCTCCTAACCCTCCTGCTCTCCCCGCTCTCCCCTCCCCACCTCCCTACCCTCCCTGCTCTCCCCGCCTCCCTCCTCTCCGCGTTCTTCCCGCTTCCCTCGCTGTCGCATTCTTTGCCCTCGCCTCCATTCAGGTGACTCCCCGCTCCCCCCTTCTTCCTCTCACCCTCTCCTTTTTCCCCCACAACACCCCCCCTCCCCCTCCCTTGTCCAGAGTGTGATGGAGCGTGTGGCGTCCCTCCCCCAGCCAGTCATCCGCTCTCTCATCTCAGCATCGCTCCACCTGCTGCTCTGTCCATTCGACCACGCGCGGCGCAACACGGCACTCTTCTTTGCCGCCTCCCTCGCCTTCCCCCTCCTTGGTAGCCTTCTCATTTCAACCTCCCTCCACCTGCTCCTCTCCACGTTCTCCCCTTCCCTCCCCGCGCCCCCTCTCCCTCCCCCCTTTCCCCCCCCTCCCCCCAGAGTGTGATGGAGCGAGTGGCATCCCTCCCCCAGCCAGTCATCCGCTCTCTCATCTCAGCATCGCTCCACCTTCTCCTCTGTCCTCTCGACCACGCGCGGCGCAACACGGCGCTCTTCTTTGCCGCCTCCCTCGCCTTCCCCCGCCTCCTCCATGAGTTTGACGCCCAGGGGGGCCTCCCCGCCCTCATCGCTCTGCTCAGGAATGCTGCTCAGTTAAGATCCAGGGGCGGTGGGGGAGGGGCGCTGGGCGCGGGGGCAGGGGCAGGGGCAGGGGGAGTGGGGGGAGGAAGAGGGGGAGCAGTGGGAGGGGGAGCAGTGGCGGAAGGGGGAGTTGGAGCAGGGGAGATTGGATTGGGCAGAGGGGGTAGGGTAGGGGGAGGGGGAGGGCCAGGGGGAGGGGTAGGAGGGTCAGAGGAGGGTGGTAATTTCGTTGGAGGGCGCTTGGGTTTGCCGTTTCCTCTGGGTGGGGGAGTGCACTTCGCTGCTGGGACTGCTGGGACTGCTGCTACTGCAGGGACAGAGGCAGCTTCAGATCCTGTAGTTGGGTCAGCAGGAGGAGGAGGCGGAGGAGCAGGAGCCGCAGCAGGAGCAACTACAACAGCGCTACCAGGTCTGGGCGGTAGCAGCAGCGGCAGTGGCGGCACTGGCAGCGGCACGATGACATGGGAGGTGTTGACGCCAGCAGGGAGGCAGGTGGCTCACAACACGTGCATCGCCCTGCGGCAGTACATGCGCGTGCACCTCGTGCTGCACCTCGAATCCCTCCACCACCCTTCTTCCGGTGCCTCCTCCTCTGTTGCCCCCCCTGTTGCCCCCTCTGTTGCCCCCTCTGTTTCCCCCTCTGTTGCCCCCTCTGTTGCCCCCGCTGTTGTCCCATCCGGTGGCCCCACTGTTACCCCCTCCTCCTCGCTCTCCTCCCGCCACCGCACCCAAGCGCCTCAGAAGCCGTCGCACCACGCACGGAGTCTCACCAGAGCCGTAGATTCAAGCGCACAGGCAGTGGAGGGGTTGATGGAGGCACTGATGGTGTCGGACCGGCGCCTGGCGCATGCGTTTGTGCGCTCGCGGTGGGGCGCCGCTGAGAGGCTCGTGGAGGAGGGGGCAGTCGATGTGCTGCTGGAGCTCTGCCAGGTGGGTTCCTGTTCCTCTGTCTGGGGCTCAGGGCTTTGCGTGTGATTGGGTCTTGGGAGTTTGGACCAGGCCAAGTCTAGAATCTGGTTTCTGAAACGCCTCAGAAGCTGCCTGGACGGATGTAGGATTCGAGTGCACAGGCAGTAGAAGGGTTGATGGAGGCGCTGATGGTGTCGGACAGGCGCCTGGCACACGCGTTTGTGCGCTCACGGTGGGGCGCTGCTGAGAGGCTCGTGGAGGAGGGGGCAGTCGATGTGCTGCTGGAGCTCTGCCAGGTGGGTGTGGGGTGCAGGGCTTGGCAGTGCAGTGTACCTAGTGGCTCTGGGGTAGGTATAGGAGCTGAGTGTTTGTGCGCTCGCGGTGGGGCGCTGCTGAGAGGCTCGTGGAGGAGGGCGCAGTGGACGTGCTGCTGGAGCTCTGCCAGGTGGGTTGGGTTCACACGTCTGGTATTCAGGGCTTTGCGTATTTCAACGGGTGAGGGTTTTGCATGTGGCTACGGAGTGAACGGGGCTTCGGGCTTTATGTGGGATGGTCCTTTCTCGCTCTCCCCCTCTCTTCCCAAACCCTCGTTTTCTCACTGCAGCTACCTATCGTCTCACTTCCCACGGTCTATCCCCCCCATCAAAACCCGAAACCTCCACCGTTTTTCCCACAGATACCTCCCGGCGAGCGCAGCACAGGGGAGTTGGCAGAGCACGCCCTGGGAGTCCTGCACGTGCTCACCCTGGCGCCCTTCACCCACCGTCACGTGTGCTCCCCTCTCTCTCCCAAATTTCAATCCTTCTTTCTGCAGATCCCTCCAGGAGAACGCAGCACAGGCGAGCTAGCAGAGCACGCCCTGGGGGTGCTCCACGTGCTCACCCTGGCGCCCTTCACGCACCGCCACGTGCTCTCAGCGCGCGTGGCCTCGCACCGCTGCGGCATGCCCGTGCTGCTCGACGCTGCCAGCGGGGCTCTGCTGCCCGATCCCGAGGTCATGCAGATCGCCCTGCTGGTTGTCGTGCTCACTCCCCTCCCTTCGCTCCCTTCCACCCTTTAACCCTGTGGCAGATTCCCCCAGGGGAGCGCAGCACGGGGGAGCTAGCAGAGCATGCACTAGGCGTCCTTCACGTGCTCACCCTCGCGCCCTTCACGCACCGCCATGTCCTCGCGGCTCGAGTCGCTTCTCACCGCTGCGGCATGCCCGTGCTGCTCGACGCTGCCAGCGGGGCTCTGCTGGCGGATCCCGAGGTCATGCAGATCGCTCTGCTGGTCGTTGTGAATCTCGTCTGCCCGTTCCCCACGTACTGCTCCGTGGTGAACAGGCAGAGTGCTGGGCATTCTGCTGGTGCTTCTGGTGCTGGTGCTGGTGGTGGTGGTGCTGCTGGTGCTGCTGCTGGTGGTGCGACTGGTGCTGGTGCTGCTATTGCTACCCCGAGTTCAAGCCGTGCACTGCCACGCATCACTGAAGGGACTGAGGCAGGGCCACAGCAGCAGCAGCAGGACGCGTTTTCTACACCTGTGCGAGCGACTCCAGCAGCAACACAACAAGCACCAGCAGCAGCAGCAACACCCGCAACACCAGCGACAGCAACACCGGCAACACCAGCAGCACTTGCAGCACCAGCAGCACCTGCAGCCGCCACAGCACCGCCCTTAACCCCTCAGGACCGCAGAATGCAACCCCTCGGGCTAGGCCTGGGCGCAACAGGGCTCGCAGCTTACATGGAGCAAGGATACAAGCAAGCTAGAGACGCCCTGAGAGCCAGCAACGGCATTAGAGTGCTCCTACAGCTGCTGCACTGCAAACCCCCTCTCCCTCCCCCTTCGGCGGATTGCATCAGAGCTCTTGCCTGCCGGGTGCTGCTGGGATTGGCTAGAGATCCCGCCCTGACGCATATTCTGACGAAGCTGCAGCTCGGGCGGCAGCTTTCGGATCTTCTGCGGGACGTGTCGGCTGGGTTGCCTTCTGTGTCAGTGCAGCATCAGCAGCACCACCACCGTCATCATCATCATCAGCAGCAGCAGCCGAATCAGCAGCAGCAGAATCAGCAGCAGCATCACCATCACAGGGGATCCAGTGGCATGGGGTTGCAAGCCCTGCATGCTCGATGGTTGCATGAGTTTCAACAGTCGGCACTGGAGCTCATCTCGGTAAGTTATGCACCCGTCTTGTCACAGCAAGGCTCGTATTCAGCATCATCATCATCACCATCATCACCACCACAGGGGGTCGAGTGGCATGGGGTTGCAGGCTCTGCATGCTCGGTGGCTGCATGAGTTTCAACAGTCGGCTCTGGAACTCATTTCGGTAAGTTTCGCACCCTTCACAGAAAGGCATGCATTCAGTAGCGTCATCACCACCACCACCACAGGGGGGCGAGTGGCATGGGGTTGCAGGCCCTGCATGCCCGATGGCTGCATGAGTTTCAACAGTCGGCTCTTGAGCTCATTTCTGTAAGTTATCCACCCATCACAGCAAGGCACGCATTCAGCATCATCATCAGGGTCACCACCACCACAGGGGATCGAGTGGCATGGGGTTGCAGGCCCTGCATGCCCGATGGCTGCATGAGTTTCAACAGTCAGCTCTTGAACTTATCTCTGTAAGTTATCCACCCATCACACCAAGTAGCTCTCATTCACCAGCATCACCACCACCACAGGGGGTTAAGTGGCATGGGGTTGCAGGCACAGGCATGCTCGATGGCTGCATGAGTTTCAACAGTCGGCTCTTGAGCTCATCTCGGTAAGTTATGCACCCGTTGCTCATCTACAAGGCGTGCAATTCTCTAACTGTGTGCACTGAAGACTGGTTGTCATTGTGATAAAACGTTCTTAGGGGCTCAAACAGTAACTGGTGTTTCTTCCCTCTTCTCGCTCTCTGCCCTCACCTCGCCTTTCCTTCCCTGCTTCGCCTGTCAGCTCACCACGAGTGCTGGCAAGGCGACAACAGCAGCAGCCACGGAAGCAACAGCGCCCACACTCAAGAGGCTGGAGCGAGCTGCCATTGCTGCTGCCACTCCCATCAGCTACCCCCCCAGGTGAGACTAGATACAGTCAGGTTCTGAGGCGACTTATTAGGTGACAACAGCAGCAGCCACGGAAGCAACAGCGCCCACACTCAAGAGGCTGGAGCGAGCTGCCATTGCTGCTGCCACTCCCATCAGCTACCCACCCAGGTGAGATAGGGTCAACCTTGGTCAACCCTGGTCAACCCTGGTTCAGATGCTAGTAACGAAGATGGTTGTAATGAACCACGAATTTGGCAGGTCAGTTGTGCGGAGGTCTCATATCCCACTTGCTGTCTCCTACGCATCATCTTTTAATGCCTTCAGCAGGCCTTCATCTTTCAAACTTCACTCTCTCTCTCCATCCCTCCCCATCCCCCTTACAGCGAGCTCCTTCAACAAATACATGCGCATCTAGTATCAGAAGGCCTTCAATTTCCAACCTCTAATCTCTTTCCCCACCCCCGCCTCCTGTCCCATCCTCCTTACAATGAGCTCCTTCAACTGATACACGCGCATCTGGTATCAGAAGGCGTCCAATCTTTATATTCCATCCCCTTTCTCTCCGCCCTCCCCATCCCCCTTACAGTGAGCTCCTTCAGCTGATACACGCCCATCTAGTATCAGAATGCCTTCAGTATCCTATCTCCAATCTCTCTCCCCATCCCTCCCCATCCTCCTTACAGCGAGCTCCTTCAACTGATACACGCTCATCTGGTATCAGAAGGCCTTCACCAGTCAGCAAGCCAGCTGCTAGCAGAATCAAACATTGCCCCCCTCGTTGCCACCCCCGCTCCCTCCTCCTCTCCCGCTGCCCTTCCCTCCTCCTCTCTTGCTGCCTCTGAGACCTCCCCCACTCGCCACCTCCCCCACGCTCTCCCTCCCCCTCCCCCTCCTCCTCTTCATCCATCCGTCTCTGCTGCACCGGTTGCAACGTCAGCAGCAGCGACAGCTGGCAGTTCGGGATTGGCTGCTGAGGCAGCAGGGGGGCTTAGCTGGCCTAAGGGTAAGGCAGGATGGTTCTTCTCTGCTGGAAGGAAGGGTGAGGGGAGAGGGGAAAAGGGGGAAAGAGGGGGGAGGGGAGGGAGGGGAGGAAGAGGGGGAAGGGGGGATATGGCCGGGGAGGGAGGCGAAAAGGGAGTGGGGAGAGGAGAGAGGAGTGGTATTCGGCAGAGAGCGGTGGGAATGGATGCAAGTGGAGCGAGTGGGAGTGGGGTTGCAGGAGAGGAGGAGGGGCAGATAAGGAGGCGGATCTTACTGGGGAGCTCCCTTGTGGAGAGGGCAAGAGGGAAAGGGGAGGGCAAGGGGGAAGAGACCGATCAGGAGGAGCAGAGAGGGGCGAAAGATGCAACGTTGAGCAAAGAAGGAGTGAGGGGTGGAGGCTTGACCAGTGGAGGCAGCAGCAGCAGTGGGGAGAGGGAGAGCACGCCTGGGAGGGAGCAGATGGCACGGCGTTTATCCGGGAGGAAGCGAGGGTACAAGGAAGCTTCTGCTTCTGCTTCTGCAGCAGCGCTGCTCGTCTCTCCTCCTGCCAAACGAGCCTCCACGCTTCTCCCGCCTCTCCTCTCCCCTAGTCCTTCCCTGCCGCTGCAAAGTGGTGCTGGCTCTGCAATAGCTGCTGCAGGGGCAGGGGCAGGAGCAGGGGCAGGGACAGGGGCAATGGCAGGGGCAGGTACCGGTGATGCTGCTGCTGCTGCTGCTGACGCTGGTGTTGGTACTGGTGGGGATGGTTCTGGTGGTGGTTCTTCTCCTGCCGCTGCTGTTGCATCTGGTGAAGCACCTGCAGGGTCTGCTGTATTAGAGGAGCCTGTTCCGTGTTCAGGTGGGGGTTCATGTGGTTCCACAGGTGGGGCCTCAGGTGGGGCCTCAGGTGCCGCAGAGGACAGCTTGGGCCAGGCGCTAGCAGCCCCTGCACCAGCAGCAACCGCCCCGGCCCCACCCGCAGCAGCACCACCTCCCTCAGTTCTACCTCCCCCAGGCGAGCTCAGCACAACCCTAGACGGAATCGTCACGTCTTACCTGAAGCAGCAGCACAGGCAGTGCCCCGCCCCCATCACCACCCTCCCCCCCCTCTCCCTCCTCCACCCCCACACCTGCCCCGAGCCTCTCCGCTCCCTCGACGCCCCTTACAGTATCACCCGCCGCCTTGCCGCCCGGCAGCGCCGCCCGCCTGCGGGCGGGTGGCAGGGGCGGCGGCTGGATCGGCAGCTAGTGTTCAGCCGGTTCCGCCCCTGGCGAACCTGCCGAGAAGATGCGGTTATGATCACCAGCGCGTGTTTCCTGCTGGGGGCGGGAGGGGCGGGTGGGGGCGGCGGTGTGTGGGGGTTCGGGGCGGGGGGTACCGGGGGCGTTGGGGGATTCGGCGGGGGGAGGCGATGCTTGGCAGTGGGGACGACTGCGGGGGAAATAAAGCTGTTTGATGCGGAGGGGGGTGTGGTTGTGGATAGCTACTCGTGCCACCAGTCTTCAATAGTTTCGGTGTTTTCGGCGCCGAGACCGGGGTATGATGATGATGACAGGGGGTTTGTAGGACGGGGGCGGGGGAGACAGCAGGAGGAGGAAATGCAAGACGGTGCATCAGCAGCAGGAGGAGGGGTAAGAGCAGGAGGAGCAGGAGCAGGAGGAGCAGGAGCAGGGTCATCGGCAGCGTCAGCAGCATACGGAGCAGCTTCCTGTCTGCTCCTCTCCTCTACCCGCACAGAAGTGAAGCTGTGGGATGCAGCAGACCTCTCTCTCGGGCCCATCCACACCTTCCCCTCCTGCCGCCTCGGCCGCTTCAGCCACTCCGCTCGCACCATCGGTGCAGTGCGGTGCGACGGGCAGTCAAGGGAGTCGAGAGAGGTGCTGCTGTATGACGTGGCAACAGGCAGGCTGCAGGAGACGCTCAGAGAGGCGCCTATCGCTGCTGCTGCTGACTCATACGTTGGTGCTGCTGCTGCTGGTGGCGCTGGTGGCGCTGCTGGTGTGGTTGGTTGGGGTGGTGCAGGCGGTGGGGTTGCTGGTGGGGGTTTGGGAGGCGGGCGCGGTGGGAATGGCGGCTTTGGTGGTCTATTTGGTGGCTATGGCGGTTATGGTGGGTTCGGAGGGTTCGGGATCGGGCTTGCCGGTGCTGCTGGTACCACTGCTGCTGGTATTGCTGCTGCTGGTGGCGGCGGTGGCATGGCTATGATGGGAGGAGGAGGAGGAGGGGGAGCGGGAGTGAGTCGCACGTTGGGGTCTCAGGCGGTGCATTTCTCCCCGCTGGATGATCTGCTGCTGTGGAAGGGGTTCCTGTGGGACCCGCGCATCAGTGAGCCCGTGCATCGCTTCGACCAGTTCTCGGATTATGGAGGAGGGGGCTTCCACCCTTCAGGCAACGAGGTGAGTGGTTGGTTTGAGAAGCGGGAGTGAGTAGGTTAATTGGGGTCCCAGGCGGTGCATTTCTCTCCGCTGGACGATTTGCTGCTGTGGAAGGGGCTGGTTCCTGTGGGACCCGGGGATTAGTGAGCCCGTTCATCGATTCGACCAGTTCTCAGACTATGGAGGAGGGGGCTTCCACCCGTCAGGCAACGAGGTGAGTGGATATCTGGTGGTTGTGTTTTAGCAGCTGAATGCGAGCAGCCAGCAACTATTGCTGTGGAAAGGGTTCCTGTGAGACCCGAGAATTAGTGAGCCCGTGCATCGCTTCGACCGGTTCTCCGACTAGCAGCAAGCAGGGGCGTCCACCCTTCCCTCCCCTCATCCTGTCCCTCCGCTCCCCTTCCTGCCCTTCCCCCCACACACCAGGTGATCATCAATTCAGAGGTTTGGGATCTGCGAACTCGAAAGCTTCTGCGCAGCGTCCCGTCCCTCGACCAGACCTCCATAACATTCAACGCCACTGGAGAAGTCATCTACGCCACCCTCCGCCGCACCACCGACGACCTTCTAGCAGCCCTGCACGGCCGGCGGCGCAAGCACGCCCTCTTCTCCGCGTTCAAGACCATCGACGCGACCTCGTACACTGACATCGCAACCGTTAATGTGGAACGCTGCGTGCTCGATCTCGCCGTTGAACCGACAGACGGGTATGTCGCAGCAGTGGTGGTAGATGAGCATGGGGAATCGGATTCTGTTGCGCGGTTGTTTGAGGTTGGGAGGCAGCGGGTGGTGGAGGAGTTGGGGGATTATGATGGGGAGGATGAGGGGGAGATGGAGGATGAGGGGGACGAGGGGGAAGAGGAGGAGGAGGATGAGGATCAAGAAGAGCTGGATAGTTTAGAGGAGGAGCTTTTTGGAGGGTTTTCGGAGGATTTGGATGAGGAGGAGGATGAGGATGGGTTTGGGCAGCCGCGGGTGAGGGCTGTGAGGGGTGGGGGGCGCGGGGGGGTGATGAATGGGGAAGTGGAGGAGGGGGAGTATTTGGGGAGTGATTCAGAGGACGATGAGGAGGCGGCACAGACGCTTATGGATTTGATCATGGAGGGACCGTCGGATGAAGATCCCGATAGTTTTAGTGACGAGGATGATGATGATGACGATGACACAGATGAGGGTGATGATGAAGATTTAGATTTCGAGGACGAAGACTGGGAATCTGAGGATTCAGCCCAAGACGAATAGAATCTTATTGATATTCAGTGGTGGTCATGTGTGTGCTGCAGTTGCTAAAGCAAAAATTCCGCTATTGTTTCCGGGGTGTTGGAGGTTAGTTCTCAAATATATAAGGTTTTGTCCGCATTTATTAGTTTTCTCACTAGTCGTGTAACACCTTTTCTGGTAGCGTGTCGGATTCATTGTCAGACCGAAACCCACAGCGCGCATGCCAGTGCACTGTAGTGCTGCCTGAGGATGCGGTTCGCCAGCAACACTTTCGGCGAGTGGCGTCAACGCAGCTTTTATCATCTCATCCAATCAACGCCCCTACTCAGCAAAAAGCTTGGATGACGCGGAAAGATCAAGGCTCGTAAGTGGCTAGAGGTAAAGTGCCGCCACCAGACCTGGAAACTTTTACGAAGCCCAACGAATCGGGCCTATTCTTCGCCGATATTGTTTTTGCTTTGCTGAGTTGGCATACTTTTCACTCGCTGTGTGGGCCGCATTCACCGCTTGGGCAGTTCACCTGAACAAATCCACAGCTCGTGGGAGGGCCGTTCCGCAGTCGGGAGGTGTGATTGGGCCAAATCCCTCGAAGCTTGCTTCCCTCCAAACTTTCTGCCCACTGCAATCCATCCACACAGCACGCGGAAAATCCCTCCCATACCAGTCACGAATGATGCTTCATTTCGCTCAAAATCACTCTACTTGCGCAGATCGGCGAAGCCGTAATTGGAGCTTCGCGAACGCCTTCGCACGTTTTCCCAACCTACCATCCACACCAACTGCTTCCGCGTCGCGCTTGCGAAACTGTTCGCAACAGAGCATGATCACGTTGAGGTCAGTGTATACGCGGCTCGCAGCTTCGGTTCGGCATCAGTAACCTCGAGCCCAAGTAGCCGCCAGCTCACCAGCAGTTGCGTGTCGATTGGTTGATGTCTTGAGCTATGGGAACAACCTGATGCCAGACCTATCTCACCGTCTCTGCGGGTTCGGTTTTTGCCACACACCCCTGCCTCCGCCGTTGGTTCGGTATGTTCATACACCATCCCAATCTCCTCTTCCCTCCTCACTCCCCCTGAAAGCCGGTCACGCCATGGCTTCTCCTTCCTGAATTCCGTTTCGACCACCCACCCAGCCCGTGCTATTCTCGCGTCCCTGTGCGACCATAGCAAGCATAAACACAAGGCTTTTGCAATCAGATGAAATCCACAGTGATTGATCACTTCTGTTCTGCAACCACCTCTAGACCAGTGACTGAAGGATTCAGCTGACTAGATGCAACAGCATTTTTCGAGTCGAGGCCACAGGTAGTTTCTACTGACTCACGTCCGTCGTCCAATTTCCTTTGAGAACACTCTACTGTTGCTTCAAATTATGACAATGGCGCCGGCTGACGGATCCCCCGCTGCCGATCCGGCTGTGAAGCCGTCCACAGCATCGGCAGAAGAAACAATCCCCACAAACGGCAGCGCGAAGAACGGCAACGGCCGCGCGGCGACATCCGCAACCCCCGCCGCGACGTACGTCGGTTCGCTCTGCCAGCTCTCCGCGCCGCTACCGACAAAAGTCGCGCTGGTCAACGCGGATCAGCTCGTAGAATCCCCGGAGGAGGAGGCGGAATGCGAGACCTTGGAGCAAGCCGTGCTCTCCGCCCTCGACGCGCTTCCCAAGGACATCGACCGTTACATGTACCTCCGCGCGACGCGCGAAGCTGACGAGGAGTTATTTTTCCGCCTACTAATGGATCACACGGAAGAGGTCCTTCCGTACATTTACACCCCAACGGTCGGGGAGGCCTGCCAACGCTACCACGAGCTCGGGATCGTTCCTAACGGGATCTACCTCACGGCGGCGGATAAGGGTCACTTTCTGGAGCGTCTCCGCGCCGCGTGCCCGCACAGCGGCATTCGCGTGATCGTGGTGACGGACGGAGAGAGGATCTTGGGTCTCGGGGACCAGGGCGCGGGGGGGATGGGGATCAGCGAGGGTAAGATCCTGCTTTACACCGCGATGGCGGGGTTAGATCCGCGTCGCGCCCTGCCGGTGATGCTGGACGTGGGGACTAACAACGAGAAGCTTCTATCGGATCCGGGGTACAAGGGCCTGCGGCAGCGGCGGATGCGCGGTCCGGAGTACGACGAGCTCGTGGACGAGCTCATGACCGCGGCGCGCACGTTGAAGCCGCACGTGCTGCTGCAGTTCGAGGATTTCGGCAACTGCAACGCGTTTCGGCTGCTCGAGTGCTACCAACACACGCAATGCTGCTTCAACGACGATATCCAAGGCACGGCGTGCATCACGCTCGCGGGATTGCTCTCCGCGCTCCGCGTCACCGGGCGCCCGCTGGAGGAGCAGCGGATCCTGTTCCTCGGCGCGGGGGAGGCGGGGACCGGGATCGCGCAGCTGATCGCGCAGGCGATGAATCGACGGTGCGGGATGGATATCGACGCGGCGCGCCAGCGGTGCCTGTTTATCGACTCCAAGGGACTCGTGTGCAAGGAGCGCGAGTTAAAGGGGGAGCTGCAGGATCACAAGATCCCGTTCGCGCACGATCTGCCGTACCAGCCGGATTTAATCTCGGCCGTTCATGAGTTCCGGCCGACGGTGCTGGTCGGCGTGTCGGCGCAGGCGAACGCGTTCTCCAAGGAGGTGGTTGAAGCGATGGGTGTTTATAACGATCGGCCCGTGATCTTCCCGCTCTCCAACCCCACGTCCAAGGCGGAGTGTTCTTATAAAGAGGCGTTCAAATACACGGGCGGGCGCGTGGTGTTCGCGAGCGGAAGCCCGTTCCCCCCGCTGGTGGCGGAATCGGCGGAGCCGGGCGGCGGGAAGGTGACGATGTACCCCGCGCAGGCTAATAACGCGTACGTGTTCGGGCCGATCGGCATGGCGGCGCTCTTAACGAGGTGCAGCAGTATCACGGATGACGTGTTCCTGTCGACCGCGGAATTCCTGGCGCAACTCACGCCGCAGGCGCACCTGGACCGCGGGATGCTCTTCCCCTCGCTCTCCGCCATGAAGGTAAGCACGCGCGCGCATGCTCTCCCTCCCGCGCCCCTTTCTCCCCTCCTCCCCCCTCCCCCACCCCCTTTCACACTGTTCCTTCAACTGGTCGAGTATTAACGCATACAAGCCTGTCGGTTACACATTCTCACCTTAACAACTAACAAGGATAATAATTCATGATTCACCATTCAACTCAAACGCCTGTTACAGCTTACACTCACGATCCTCACCACGCCTCTTCCCCCGTCGCTTTTCTTCCTTGCAGGCGCTCGTGCCGCTGCTTATAGCGCGTATATCGGAGTTCATGGTGGCGGAGGGGCTGGGCACCCCCCCGCCCGCGGTGGGCGCGGGGACGGTGGCGGAGTGGGAGCGCCACGCGCGCGCGAGCATGTACCACCCGCACCCGCACGGCCCGCTCGCGCTCCCAGCTGTCCCCAGCGATTCGGAGGAGCTCCAGGGCTGGGCGGGCGCAGGCGCAGGAACCGGCGCAGGCGCGGGCGCGGGCGCGGCGCAGGCGGAGCAGAGTCAGCTGCAGGACGTGGTGCATCAGCACCTGCACATGCCGGGGGGACCGGAAGTTGAGGTGAGCGCGGGGGACATGGCGGAACTGGCGGACCTGTGTCGTGGCTTCTAGCTGTCGGGGTGCTTTTTAAAACATCACTTTTGGGAATGCTCAGGCACCTCATACGTCTTCTGAGAATTCTCAAAGGGGACTTTCAGCTGTTGAATCTCTCACCCACGATCATACCCCCTTACTCACGATCCTCACCCCGCAACCCATTCCCTCCGCGCCCTGTTCCCCCGGAGTGCAGGTTAGCGCGGGCGACATGGAGGAGCTGGCGGACATGTGTCGCGACTTCCAGCAGTACCTGCTGGACCGCCGCCTCAAGGAGAACGGCGTCGCCGTCTTCATCAAGCCCTCCGCGCTCCCCGCCGCCGCTGGCGCTGCTAATGGCGTGGCTGCTGCCGGCGCTGGATTGAAGGAGATGCGCGGGGTGTACCTGACGGGCAAGGACCGCGGGCAGATGCTGCCGCGCCTGCAGCGGTGGGGGGAGCAGCGCGCGGAGGTGGGGAAGGACGTTGATGCGGTTCTGGTTGTGGATGCGGAAATCGTGCTGGGGCACACAGGCAACAGCAGCAGCAGTGGTAACAGTAACGGTAACGGTGCTAGTAATGATAGCATGGCGACTCTCTTCTCGTCTGCAGCGGCTGCGTGGCCGAATCTGGACCCGAGCAGGTGTCTTCTCGTGTGTCTGGATACCGGCACGGATAACCCTGAGCTGTTGGCGGCTGGGTCGGGTTACAGGGGGCTGAGCCATCCCCGTTTGAAGCCGTCTCGTTACAATGACATTCTGGCGGAGCTGCTGGGCGCTGTGCGCGTGTGGAACCCGAGCCTGCTGCTACAGTTCACGGACTTTTATAACAGTAACGCGTTTAAGCTCTTAGACAAGTACCGGGGGACTCACTGCTGTTATGAGAGCACCACCACTAGCAGTGACAGTGGGGAGGAGGAGGAGGGGGAGGAGAGCAGCAGTGAGAGTGATAATGAGGTGGCAGCGGCAGGAGCGGGAGGTTGGGGAGGGAGTGTGGGGGAGGGAGTGGGGGGAGAAGGGGTGGGAGAGTATGTGGTTCCGCAGGTGCCGGTGTGCTGTGTGTCTTTGGATGGTATGCTGTCTGCTTTGGAGGAAGCCGATGGTGTTGTAGCGGAATTTGGAGTGGCTTTTATGGAGGATGCTGCTGATGGGGAGCCGAGGGGCGTGGTTACCAAGGGAAAGTCGACGACGAATGGCGTGGCGACAAGTGGCAACGGAGCAGCAGGAGTGGGAGGGGAGACGGCAGATCTAGTGGGACTGCAGGACGTGAAGGAGTGTACTCTGGATGGCGGCAACAACGACCTTATCTGCAGTAAGTGGAATCATTAAAAAAACTCGCTAGAAACCCCTTCTTGCCATAGGGAGCGATCAAACTCTTGCAGAAACCCACTTTCCTGCTTGTTCTTGGGAAGTAGCCCGCTCATCATGTCTCTTTTCCCGCTTCTCAAATCCCTCCTCCCCCTTGTTTCCCCTCTAAACAGCTGGTTCTCTCACCTCTCCCTCGGGTCCCTCAACACGCAAGACCCAGTACAAGACCCGAGCTGTTCCACACAGGGTTGCCATTCCCTCCTCTCTGCCCTACTGCACGCCCTTCGCTCACTCCCGCTCCCTTGCTGCTCCGACCCTGCGCCTGTCTCTTCCTGGGGCGAGAGTGGGTGGTTTCCGAGCCTCGGCTGCTGGTTCGGTGAAGGCGGGGGCGTCTGTTGCTAGGGTGGCTGGCCTGGGTGTTGGGCTGAGGTTTGCATTTGCTTGAAATTTATGGTAGGTTGAAGAGTGGGTCTTGTATGGCTTTTATCCCCTGTTGGTACGTAGGAGTTGATGTATGCAGCTAGGTAGTAGTACCATCACATGTTAAATCAAAGCTTACCCTGAGAGCAGTGCAAGCATGTTGTAAGATACAACATACAATAAGATACAACATACAAGGATGAAGAGTTTATTTAGAATGAAGAGCTCAGGCTCAGGGAGTGGCAAGCATATCAGAGAGATTACAGCCACAGCCTCGGTATCCTCACACAAGAGTTGCATGATAAGCACAGGCTGAAGACAATGCCAGTATCCATTAGTATAAAGAACGATGTACAGCAAAAGTCAAAACGATAACCCAGAAGCATAAAAGCTATGAAAGATATGGTGGTGGATCTGCCATTAGTGACCCTGCTTATAGATAATCACAGGCGAGCACGTGTCAACCACAAGAACCTCCTTGGGGCTTGCGGGCGCGCTGGCGGGCTGGCTGGCATGCGGTGGGAGGTTGAATCCTCTTGGCTTGGCTCGGTTTCAATGGAGCGTGCTGTGCTGCAGACATCTGCTCATGAATGGTGCACTCAATGGCTCGTGCATGGTGCACCGAATGGCTCATGAATGGTGCACTCAATGGCTCGTGCATGGTGCACCGAATGGCTCATGAATGGTGCACTCAATGGCTCGTGCATGGTGCACTGAGGGTAGTGACCTCAAGTGGCTTGCGGTGACAGGTGCTGAGGGTATAGGAAGGTAACAAGCAATCCAACAGAGGAGCGGGGAGGAGCGCAGAGAGGAAGGGAGGGGGCCCAGGGGAGGTGTTTGTGGGGGAGGAGGGCGGAGAAAGGGAGGGGAAAAGTTGTTGAATGACAAAAGGTTGACGGTTGACATTGATTAATACTGCTGAAAAAAGTATAACACAGATGGTTGACATTGTTAAGAGGGGAGAAGGAGCAAGGGACAGGCAAGATGAGGGTTACGTGGGAAGGGGGTTGAGGGGAGTGTGGGGCGTCAGCAGAGAGAGGTTGGAGAAGAGCAAGGAGATGAGGGGTGGAAGACGGAGGTACGTGGGGGGAGATGAGGGGTGAGCGGAGGGTGAATGACAGATGGATCGTGAGGGGGTGGGAGGGAGAGACTTGGGATATATAGGTGAGGTGATAAGGGTGAATGGGTGGGGAGAAATGAGGGGTGAGCGAGGGGAAAGACGAGGGGAGGCCGGGGGGAACGGGGAGGTAATAAGGGTGAATGGGTGGGGAGAAATGAGGGGTGAGTGAGTAGAAAGACGAGGGGAGGGCGAGGGGAACGGGGAGGTAATAAGGGTGAATGGTGGGGAGAAATGAGGGGTGAGTGAGGGGAAAGACGAGGCGAGGGCGGGGGGAACGAGGAGAACGCAGGGTGGATAGAGGGAGGGATGAAGAGCGAGTGAGGGAGGAGGGGAGGCATGGTGTGGGGAGGGGATGAGAGGTGAGCCAGACTGTGTGTTGGGGTGGGGGGGTCGGGGGGGAGAGGAGGGGGTCAGGTGGGGGGGGGGGGAAACGGGGAAGAGAGGTGGGTGCGCGGGAAGAGGGGTGAACGCGGGGAGTAGGAGGAAATCGCAGGGAGATGAGGGGAGAGCGGAAGGGGGGCGGAAAGGGGTGGGGAGAACGCGCGGGGAGAGGAAGCGGGGGAGGGTGTGGGGGGGGAAACGGGGAAAAGGGCCAGTCCGCCACGTCGCCTCTCACCAGACTTCTGTCATGGGGAAAGGGGCGGAACGGGGAAAGGGGCGGAACGGGGAAAGGGGCGAAACGGGGAAAGGGGCGGAACGCGGAAAGGGGCTCCACGAGGTGCCTCAGCGCCACCGCGCGCTTCTCCAGCGCCGCCTCTCGCCACGGAAAACAGGGCCTCCCGCCACTTTCCCACCATCTCATCCCCCCTCTCCTATTCCTTCCCGAGCCATCCTTCGCAAACGCGATCTACTGACGCGTTCCAAACACGCGCCATCCTGGGGCTTCCAATTTCGAGGCGTCTCAAATGACCCCGCCATCCTCCGCCTGCCTAACGGACCGAGGCGACGATCAAATCGGCACTGCTCGTGCGTTCGCATGACAAGCCTCTGAAGGCACTGCTAATGCGTTCGCAAATCGACACTGCTAATTCGTCCGCAGATGGACATTATCAATTCGTTCGCAGACTGAGATCGTAATTTTACTAAAACAACGTCAGATCTGAACAACTACTGACCAGCAGTCAAATATCGGAATTGCGCAACTACCACCACGCTACTGAAATCCGTAAAGCACCACGGATTCCACGAACTGATAAAGTCGCGGTTTTACCGACTACCGCTTAGATCTGACGAGAACGACATCCAATTATGGACGGTAGAAATATGGGACGCGAAACTAATCCACGCTGCCTCAATCTGACGGAACTAACGCGAGGTAATTCAAGCTACCCTTGATAAGCGTAACTAGACAATGACGGGTTTAGAAGAACAAGGTGTGGGAGATGGAAGAATGTGAGGTGGACGATTGAGATTGTTGATAAGGCTGTGCTGGCTGGTTGTGCCACGATGGCAAAAACGCCCTTCATTGCTATTGGCTCGCGCAAATATTTTGCCAAGCACCCCTTGCATTTCCAGCTGCCCAGCACGGATTGCGAGCAGCAAAACCGGTTGCGAGGGCAGCTGAATAGTTGCTTGCCCAATCACGAACTAATTTCTGGACCAACCCAACCACCGCCGTCCCGCACCTCACGCAAAACATTATTGTCGGGAGAATAATAACCAAATTCCACAGCTCCTCCTAACAAGTTCCAGCCTGCCAGGTCCATCCGTGCCAAACGAATTCCATCCATCATCCAAACCTGGGTGGATGCCAAAACTCCACAACAAACCAAACGAAACCAAACCAAACCAAACAGCGAAAGTGAACCAGCCTGTGAATCAAAGGTGCACAGTCCAATGACAACAATCGTGTTTGAGTGTTTGAACCCCAGTCAAACACTATAATGTGCAGGTATTGGATCCGCTCGTACAGCGTACACCAATTGGGCCGCCACAATTATGTCTGCTGCTCGAAGTTCCCTCCTGAAGTATGCTAGTCTCTGCCGTCATGGGCGGGAAACCGTTGGCCCATACCATAATACACACCATCACCATGCGATGCCATGATGCCACATCCATACCATGCCAAGCAAATCGTCACCGTTGAGGGTGCCACTCCACCACCATCCAACTGTTCATTCTATTCCTACAGAAATCCGCGGCCGCCAAAATGACAGCCCAGCATTTCGTCGCACCGCACTGCACCCAGCAAATGGAGCCAAACTGGGTAAACATTTCACAAGGGCCACACCTCGATACTTCCTGACACCCATCACAATTGGTTTGAAGCGCTCTGCATCGCGCGCACCGGCCGCCATCCAAACAACCAAACTTTGTTGTCAGGGAAGGGTCGAGTCTGAAGGAAACCATGGATGAGCAGGAAAGAGCACGCGTTTACTCATGGTTCAGCGCGCTTCCGCTTCTCCTACCAGCTCGATCCTTCCCACACATCCCTTCCATGACTACTTATGAACCATTCTGTTCACCGAGCAAGCTAATCTTTCCGAAAGGCTTCCGGCTAGTACTGGCGAAAACCCAATGGCACGCGGCAGCGTTGAGAAGTCGGGTGGGACGGGTTGGGTAGAGAGTCGTGAGTGAGCGAGCTGCCTGCTGCCTGGGTTGAGCCTTTACTACGCTTGTTGCCTGAGGAAGATTTCTGCTCCAACGCGAGTCTCTCGAACTGATCTTCACGGCCGGGCGCGGCGGAATGGTGGTCCCTCTAGCGTGGCGAATGGTGGCGGAACCTTTGCCGTCGGACGGCGCTTCTCCCATCGCACGACGCACGGCGCACGGTTTTATTTATCTCTTCGTCATCGTTTCTTTCAGTTTTTTTTCAGCTTGATTATTATTCTGCTTGTTCATATCTTCTTCTGATCCTTTCCGAGATCACTTACTTATTTCGTTTATTCTTCGTGCGTTCAGTAGGAGGAGTCCAGGAGGAGTCGCGCTGGTGGTGTGCGAAGCGAGTGGAGCGAGGTGCGAGGAGCGACTTTACCTTGGTAAGTGTCGTCCTTTTTTAGTGTTTTTATTTATCCGATTTACTTACGTCTTTCTTTTTCTCCTTGTGCGTGTTAGACAGGCGGAGCAACGAAGATGAAGACCGACCAAGGAGGAGACAAGGCTTCGCCTTGGTAAGTGTCGTCCATTTTTAGTGTTTTTATTTATCCGATTTACTTACGTCTTTCTTTTTCTCCTTGTGCGTGTTAGACAGGCGGAGCAACGAAGATGAAGACCGACCAAGGAGGAGACAAGACTTCGCCTTGGTAAGTGTCGTCCATTTTTAGTGTTTTTATTTATCCGATTTACTCACGTCTTTCCTTTTCTCCTTGTGCGTGTTAGACAGGCGGAGCAACGAAGGTGAAGACCGAAGAAGGAGGAGACAATACTTCGCCTTGGTAAGTGTCGTCCATTTTTTAAGTTTTTATTTATCCGATTTACTCACGTCTTTCCTTTTCTCCTTGTGCGTGTTAGACAGGCGGAGCAACAAAGATGAAGACCGACCAAGGAGGAGACAAGACTTCGCCTTGGTAAGTGTCGTCCATTTTTTGTGTTTTTATTTATCCGATTTACTCACGTCTTTCCTTTTCTCCTTGTGCGTGTTAGACAGGCGGAGCAACGAAGATGAAGACCGACCAAGGAGGAGACAAGACTTCGCCTTGGTAAGTTTTGTCCATTTTTAGTGTTTTTGTTTATCCGATTTACTCACGTCTTTCCTTTTCTCCTTGTGCGTGTTAGACAGACGGAGCAACGAAGGTGAAGACCGAAGAAGGAGGAGAGAAGACTTTGCCTTGAAGCTGGAGGAGCATGGAGCAAGGACTCTCGCGGCGGACCTCTCTCACACGGTAATGTGTTGTATTTTTTCCTGATGGCTTTGTTTTATATGATACTAACGTCTTTTCAAGTCGTTCTCTGTCGTGCAGGGAAGTCGGGAGCTAAGGAGCAGCGCAAAGCGAGGATCGAACGAGGACCAACAAGGAGAAGCAAGGAGCAGCGAAGAGTGAGGAGCAGCGAGGAGCTTGACTCCCCCCTTCCACTCCTTCCCTTTCTCAGAAGGTGGAGCGACAACTGCAACAGCAGCACATGGTAACCGGTGGGCCGTTTAGGAGCGTTAGATGAGATCGTAGGAGCGTTAGATCAGCCACAGACTGGACAGACGAGGGCGATGTGGGCTGGGTGGGTAGGCGATGGGGACGCGACGCGACAGGGTGGGTAGGCGATGGGGACGCGACGCGACTGGGTGGGTTGGGTTCCCTCCTCCTCTTTACTCCCGCCACTTTTTGTGGCTCACCTCGGCAACCTGACAACCTGACAACAGAGAAACTACTTCAAGCTCAGAGGTGTTCCCTGCCACTTGGTTGGGTTTTCCCGTCTGTGATTGGGTAACGAATGACGAATTATTTGACGAGTGGGTGAAAAAAACACAGCGAACTCCCAAACAGTCGAGGCCAAAACAAACCAGGGTGGGTTGGTTTGGGTGGAAAACGAGCCAAGGGGGACAGGTTTGGTCCCGGGTTCTGTCAACGTTGAGTTCAGAGTCTCATATTTTCGAGAGTTGTTAACACTTGGTGTGCACGGGGAAGTGTGCGACAGCCAACTTTCCCAAACCACCCCTTGCTTTGGTGTGCTTTGCGACAAACTCTGCTGTTACCGGATTCCAACCGTCCCTCCTCTGTTTTAGTGTTTTTCTTGCAGGTTCCCTAACCAAGGACCTCCACCTCATCGTGGTGTTAGGGTGAACGCTAGGGGCTTGCCCTCTAGCGGCCAAGAGGGGTCCATGCAAAGACCGAAGACCAAGGTCCAAGTTCCAGTGAAGAAGATTCCACTTGAAGTCTTCTCTACAGTTCTAGAAGTTTCTAAAGTTGATATGTAGGAATCGAATGTGGAGTACAGATATTGTTGGTACGACTTCATTATTTTTATTACAGGTTTGGTTTTGTTGTTTCAACTTAATGGAGTAGTTTTTATGGAAGAAAAAGGAATTCCGGACAAGTCTTGGTGATTGTTATTCTAAGCAGTGCAGTGAGCTTGCAGCAGCAGCTATCTAGGTCCAGCAATGCTTGCTGATCCGCTATCAGGAATTCTCTTCCACCACCTGGTCTTGCTGTGACCTGTAGGTAGGAAGCAAGCAAGGTGGTTTTCAAGTCAACATACTAAGCAAAAGCCAATAGCTGAAGAAGCAGGCCGGTGGAGTAAACCTTAGTAAACCAAATTATGGAATGGTAACCCGGACAAAGAGAATCTACAGAACTCGGCAGTGAAATGAGCTTGCACCAAACATGTTTGGCCACCCAGGCTTGCCGCTGAACTGCGTCAGAGAAAACATTATCACCAGGTATCGGTACCGCTCTGCAGCTAGGAATGTGTTTTCCAAGTCTAACTCGAAATGCTGCCTGAACAGAAGTTGTTTCTTGAAGAAGCAGGCCAGTGAGGTGGACGCTAGCCTCCATAATTCCAAAAAAAAAGGTTAAAACAGTACAACATAGGCATTGTTACCACACCATAGCAGGCGTTCCGATGTTACCATGGCAGGCGTGCCGATGTTACCATGGCAGGCGTGCCGATGTTACCATGGCAGGCGTGCCGATGTTACCATGGCAGGCGTGCCGATGTTACCATGGCAGGCGTGCCGCTAAAACCATAGCAGGCGTGCCGATGTGTCGCTCCGAGTCTCACAACTCATCCCGCACATCCTTCCACTCCTCGCCCTTTCCTTTCCCCTCACCGCCAGCTGGCGGCGGGGAGGCACTTTTGTCCTTAGTGGAAGAGGAGGAAGGGGTATCGGTGGTAGAATCAGGGGCACCAGTGGTGTTGTTGCTGGTGGTGGTGTTGCTGGTGGTGGCGTTGCGGGAAGAGGGAGGTGCAGGGACCTTCTTTGGCTTGGGCTTGGGGATTCGCT